AAATAATATAATATATATTATATTAAATAAAATATATTATAAATATTAAATATTTAAGTAAATAATTACGTATATAATTAAAATAAATTAAATAATTATTTTTTAATTATATAATTATATTTTATTTTATATAATTATAAAAAACTATTTATTTTCGTTACATTTTTTATTTTATTATATTTTTTTAATTAAATATTTACTTAAATATTAAATATTATTTTTTTTTATTTTCGATTCGATATAATAATCCTTTTAAAATTAATTATAAATTATTATTTACTTAAAAAATAAGTAATTTTTATAATTATTAATTATATTAAATACGTAATTTAAAAAAAAATAAAAATAAGTTTTTTTTTTTTTCCGGTTATTATAAAAAAAAAAATATTAATTTACCCCGAATTACTTTATAAATTCCTTATTTTCGCGGGGAAAAATTTAATTAATTAAAAATTAATATAAATAAAAAAAGCTTAATTTAAATTAATTAAAATAATATTATACGATAAAAATATTTTTTTTAAATTAATTAATAAATTTATTAATTTCGCGTTTTTTAAGTTATATTTTTCTTCGAATTATTTTTATATATTTTTTATAAATATTTAATTAATTTTTATATTATTTTAATTTATTACGAAAAAACTTATTAAACGTTAACCGCGGTTTTTTATTATTAATTATATGTTATTTAAAATAAGTTTTTAAATTAAAATAACTTTTAATATATAAATGTTTTTAATTTTTTATATATTTTAACGAGTATTTTATTAATTATTTATCGTAAATACGTTACGTTTTTAACGCGAAAAAATTATTAAAATTATATTTATATAACGAAACGTTTAATTATTTTACTAATTTTTTTAATTTTAAATCGTTTTTAATATTTTATTTATAATTAAATACGTTAATATTTTCGAAATTATTTTATATTTTATTTATTTAATTAATAATAATATAATTTATATTTAAATAATATCGAATTTAATAAATATTTTAATTTTTAATAAATTTAACGATTTTTTATCGTAAAATATTTTTATATATAATATATAAAACGATTTAATTTAATATTAAATTTTTATTAAATTTATTTATATTAACGAAAAATTCGAAATATATTTAACGACGTTAATGTAAATTTATAAAACGTAAATTTTAATTTACTTATAATTTAACGGCGTATAATTTTTCGAAAAAATTATTTTTATTATTATTCGATTTTTTTATTTTATTTATTAATATTTTATTTATAAAAATTTTAAAATATATAACTTTATATTTATTCGCGATTTATACCGTCCACGTTTTTTACGATTATAATAAATTTATTATATATAATTAATTAAAAATGCGTTATTATTATAAACGACGTTTCGATTTTATAATTTATTTAAATAAATTATAATTAAAATTTTAACGTTTTAATAAAAAATAAATATTAATTTAATACGTTTATTAAAAAAAATTAAATTTATTAACGTTATATTAAAAAATTTTACGTAAATACGTATTAATATAAACGTAAATTTTAAATTCGATAAAACGAAATTTTATATAACCGTTTATAAATTATATATAATTTAATTTTAAAATTATAAACTTTTTATTTTTTCGTTTTTTATTATTTAATTTATTATTACGACGTTATTATACGGTTTTAAAATATCGTTAATAATATACGTTATATAATTCGTTTTTTATAATAAAAATATAAACATATTTATAAATACGTTTTCGAACGTTATTTTTTTTTAATTTTTCGAAAACATTTAACGTTTATTTATAATTATTAATAAATCGGTTTATTTTTATTATATTATATAATCGTTAATATAAATTATTAATTTATTTTTTTATGTTATTTTTTATTTAAATTCGAATAAAAAAAACACGGTTAATTATTATTTTATATTAATATTATAAATAAATTAAAATTAAATTATTATAATAATTTTTTTTATAAAAATAATTTTATATAATATTTATAAATTTTAAATTATAATTAAGTTTTTTATAACGAGTTATTTTTTATTTTTTTAATTTACGTTTTAAAAATTATTTTAATATATTAATTTTTAATTATTTTTTATTTAAATAATTAATAATAAAAATATATAATAATTTTATTTTAAAAAATTAACGAATTTTCGTTTTAATAAAATTAATATTTAATTTATTTTTACGAAAACTTTATTATTAAAATTATTATTAAAAAATACGTAAATTAATATTAAAATTATATTTATTTCGAAAAAAATATAAAATTTTTTTTTATAAATTATTTTTTTTTAATTATAATTAAAAAATTTAATTTTTAAAAATTCGAAAATTAATTTAAATTCGTAATATATTAATTTTAACGAAAAATAATAATTATTAATTTCTTTTTATTATTTAAGTTAATTATTAATATTAATTTATAAATATAAAATTCCCGCGTAATGCGAATATAATATTATTTAATTAAAATTCCCGGAATTTTTAAGTTATTATTTCGTAATTTCGGGCTTTTAATATTACATTTTTTCCCTTAATTTCCTTTTACTTTTTTTTTTTTTTTCTTAGATTTTTTTTTTAATATATACGGCGAATTTTTTTAATTTATTTATTTTTTTTTTTCTTTTCGTTACGATTTAATTAAATTAAGTTTTAAATTATTATAAAATATATAAAAATGTATTAATTATAATTATAATTATTAATAAAACTTTTTAATCGATTTTAATTATCGTTCGTAAAAAATTAAATTTTTTAATTAAATTTATTTTTTTTTATATTATAATTAATTATAATTTTTTTTTTATTATATATATTTTTTATATTTATTTTATATATTAATATAATATAATTATTTTTATTAATTTATTTAAATTAAATTTAATTAAAAATATATGTTTTTATATTAAATACGAACCGTCGTATAATTAAATCGGTAATAAATAATTTTATTCGTTATATAATAACGTACGATAAATAATTATATAATAATATTAATATAATTATAAAACGAAACGAACGTAATATAAAACGATTTATTTTTTTTATAATAAAATTTAAATTAATAATTTTAAAATAAAAATCGAATTTTTTTTATTTTTTAATATTTATAAAATATTTTTATATATAATATTAATCGTTTATATAAATTTATTTTATATTATAAATAATTTATTTATTTATTTAAATATTATTTAAATAATATAATTAATTATAAAAATAATATTATTTATTATAAATTTTTTAAACGTATATAAAAAAAATTATTAATATATATTATCGGGAGTTTATAAAAATAATTTTAATTTATTATATAATATTTTTTATTTATAATTATTAAAATAAAATCGCTTAATTTATTTTTTTTATTATTATTTTTATTATTTTTTCGTTAAAAATAAATGTAAAAACGAAAAAAAACGTAATAAATTCGTTAATTTATTAACCTTGTAATTTATTTCTTTTTTATCGAATTTATTATATATTATTTAATTTATTACGTATTATAATTTCGATATATTTTTTACGACGGGATATAAATTAATTAATTTTTTTTAATATATATAATTTTAAATTAATTTTATTAATAATAAACGAAATAAATATAAATTAAATAAATAAAATAATAACGTTTTAATTTATATAAATAATATTTATACGTAAATATTAAATAAATAATACGTTATTAAAAAAAAATATATTAAAAATATTATAATAAATAAGTTAACGTACGATAAAAAAAAAATGAAATAATTTTAAAAATTACTTTATACGTTTACGAATATTATATTTATAAATATAAAATAAAAATAACATTTATAATAATTAAATATTTTAAAATATATAAATTAAATTTAAATTTATTTAATTAAAATTATTTTTATAAATGTTATTTAAAAAAAAACGATATTTTAATTTTTTTTTTAAAATAATATTTAATTTTATAAATTTAATTTAATATTAATATTATAAATTAATTTTAAATTAATTAACGAAAAACTTTTAAATATAATTATTACGTTAAATTTATTAAAAAGTTTTAATTAATAAAAAAATATTATATTATTATTTCGTTAATAAATATTATTAAATATAAATAAATAATTATTAATAATTTATTTAAAAAAAATGAAAATTTTTAAAATAAATTAAAGTTTTATATTAAAAATAATATTTTTAAAATTTTCGTAATTATATATAAAAAACGAATTAATATATTTTTATACGTGTAATTTATAATAAATTTTTATAATTTTTACATTTTTTATATTTTAATTTTTATTATATTTTTATTTATAAAATAAATAAAAAATTTAAATAATTTATTTTTTAAAAACGATAAAAAAAATTAACTTATACGACGTTAATTAATATATTTATATATAAATTTTAATTTTATTTTATTATCGATAAAAAATTAAATATTATAAAAAAAAATTTTAAATTAATTTAATTTATTATTATTAATTTTTAAAATAATACGATAATAAAATTTAAAAAATTTTATTTTAAAACGTTTTAAAATTATAAGTTTTATTAAATTATTTTTATTATTAATTTATTATTAACGTTTTTTAAAAAAATTTTATATTAATTAAACGTTTCGTAATTTATACGATATATTAATAAATTAATTTTATTAATAAATCATTTATTATAAATTACGAATTTTTAAATTTTTATATTTTTAATTTATAATAAAAATAATTTAACTTTTTTTTAAAATCGAAAATAAATAATATAAACGAAAAAAATTTAAAAAAATTTATACGAAAAAAATTAATTACGTTTAATAAAAAAAACTTATTTATTTTTATAAATATAATACGAATTATTAATATAAAAATATTATTTATTTTTTATAAAACGCGGAATATTTTTAATAAAATTACCCGTTAATTTTAATTTTTTTAAAACGTGTTAAAAAAATTAAAATTAATAAAGCTACGTTTTAAAGCGATAAAATAAAACGACGATAAAAACTGGTGTTATAAAACTTAAGTTCGGAAATGTGTGTAAATGGCGGGGCAAACGTAGCCTTGTAAGCAAGGCTACGCATGGGCCACGTTACGTAATCTACCTATGACTAATATTCCAACACTGGCAAATTTTCTCTTTTCCCTTATGTTTTGCCATGACGTAGTTGATCCCAGTACTAATCCCTTTTGCTCCTGATCTCTTAATCTTCTGACTTGATTATCTAATCCGAATTTCTGTTCTGATCCTAATCCGTATCTTGTAATCCTGTAGCTTGAAATCCCATCTAATCCCACTGGCAGACTTCTTTGTTCTGTTGACTGTTGATTGTATCGTACGATCGAAGTGAGGGGTCAACCTTGTACGTAGGTTTGATGGATCGTACGTAGGTTTGTTGGTCTGTACGAGAGTTTGTTGGTCTGTACGATGGTTTGGTGGTTCGTACGAGTCTGGTGGATCGTATGTATGTAGGATTTTCGGATCGTGTGTGGTATCTTCGGATCGTATGTATGTAGGATTTTCGAATCTTTGGATCGTATGTAGGAGATTTGTCGGATTCGTTCAATTGTCAGGATGTTTCTTAGGTTCGTCTCTTGTCTTTTCTTACGCGTAATGGACGCGGCTGAGTGTATTCGCACTCTCGTTGTCGGTAGATCGGTCGAAATGAATCGTGATCATCTTGTCACAGCGAAAGCTTGGCTCATATATCGCGAACCGTACAATTCCGTTGCTTTGCTATATCACAGGAGACTTTGGTTCATATATCGCGGACCAGTACAATTTCGTAGTCTGCTATCTCTTCCAGTCGAAAAGATTTCAGCTATCTTTAGTTCAGATCGAAGAACGATACATTCCTAGCGAATATCGACAGGATCGTACAGGTTCATGAGCGATGCACTTCCAGCAAAGGTCGACAGGATCGTACAAGTTCATGAGCGATACACTCCCAGCGAAGGTCGTTAGGATCGTACAAGCTCAGGAACGATGCAGTCTCAGCGAAGGTCGTTAGGATCATACAAGCTCAGGAACGATGCAGTCTCAGCGAAGTTGGTTAGGATCGTACAAGTTCATCTTTCCTCCCATCGCTACCACTAAGATCTTCTCCCTTGCTGTTTGTGACTGACGAGGTCCGGTCAATCACTGATTAGTGTTGGGAGGACCAGGATTGATGAAGCTACGCTCTAGAGCGATAAAACAAAACGACGATAAAAACTGGTGTTGTAAAGCTTAAGTTCGGAAATGTGTGTAAATGGCGGGGCAAACGTAGCCTTGTAAGCAAGGCTACGCATGGGCCACGTTACGTAATCTACCTATAATTAATATTCTAACAAAACGTTATTTTATTAAAATTATAATAAAATTTAATTACTTAAAATGGAATTTTTTTAAATAATTAAAATTTAATTATTAATATAAATTTCGTTATTATAATTATCGTTTTAAAATATAATAATAATTATAATTACGTATTTACCGAAAATTTTCTTACATTTTTTTATAAAAATCATTCGTTAAAACTTAAAATAAATATTAAAAAACGAAAAATTAATTAATTTTTTATTAATATTATCGATTTTAAAAATAAAAAAAACGGTTTAATAACGTGTTAAAAAAATAAAATCGTTTAATTAATAAACGTAAAAAAAAACTAAAATAATAAATTACGTAAAAATTATAATATTTTAAATTTTTAAATTAATAAAAAATTATCGATTTTTAAATATAATACTCGTAAACGATTAAAATTATTAAAACTTAAATATTATAAAAAATTTATTAATAAATAATAAAACATTATATAAATAAATAAATTTAATATATCGTTTTAATTATTTTAAAAAATAATAAACATTATATAAATAAACATTTTATTTTTAAAAATTTTTTATAATATTAATATTATATTAATTAATATTTTAAATATTAAAATTATATAAATATATTAATTTTTATAAGTTTATTTATTTATAATTTTATATAATATATTTAAAATATTTTTTTTAATAATACGTTATTACGTAATATTATTAAATTTTAATAAAATTCGATATAAATTATATTATTTAATTACGTTTTTTATAAAATATTAATATTTTTAATTATAAATAAATTTAATATATATAAATAAAATTATTCGAATATAAAACGGAAAAATTAAAACTTATTTAAATATAATAATATATTAAATTATAATTTTTTTTATATAAACTTAACTTTAAAAATTAATTAAATATAATTAATTAAAAATAACGTTTTTTAATTTAATATAAAATTATATATATTATTTCGTATATTTTAAACTTAAAAAAAATTTAATTAATTATAATAATTATTTTTTAAACTTTATATATTTTAATTTAAATGCGTTTTTTTTATATTATAATAATAATAATAATAATAATATTATAAACGATAATATCGATTTTATTTAATAAATTTTTATTAACGTTAAAAATATATTATAATTTAATTTTTTAATTATTATTTCGAATTATAAAAATAAAAAAAAATCGTGTTTTTTATTAAAAACGTATTTAAATTATACTTAATAACGTTTAAAAAATTTTTAATAATATATAAAAATATATAAATATTTTAAACCGAAATAAATTAAAATTATACCATTATTTACGTAAAACGAATAATAAAAAAATTAAAAATATACGAACGATTATTTATTACTTAAATAAATATAAAATAAAATAAAAAATTATAATTATTAAAAAATTAAAATAAAAATAAAAATATAATTATAAAAAATAAAAATAAAAATAAATAAAAATTACGTTAATAAAAAAAAATATTAAAATCGAGTTCGAAAAAAATTTATTAAATAAAACTTTATTTTTTAAAAAAAACATTAAACGATTAATACTTTATTCGTTAATTATAAAATTATCCTTTTTATTATTAAAAAGTTATTATTAAAGTTTTTTATTTTTATACCCGATATATTTTTTATTTATTTATTTATTTTCGAAAAGTTATTTAATTAATTATTAAATTAATAATAACTTAAAACTTAAATTAATAATATATTAAATTACTTTTTTTTTATATTCGAATATAAAAATTTTTACTTATTTTAATATAATTAAAAACTTAAATAATATAATAAAATAATTAAATTAACTTATTTTTATTATTATAATTTTTAATATTATAATAAATAACGATTATATATTTACTTATTTATTAAATATTTAAATATAATAAAATTTAATTTAATTAATAATTATTATAACATTATTAAATAAATATTTATTTTTTTAATATTTTTATAAAAATAAAAAAATTTATTATATTTATTTAATAAATATTTACTTATACGTATTATAATTTATAAACTTTTTAATCCTTAAATTACGAAGCATAATATATTTTCGTCGTACATTATATTTATACAATATATTTTTCAATACATTAATTAAATTGGCGGGTTGGCGGATTTGTCCTTATGGTCCGCCGTCTTAAAGATGCTATTCCGTACGATCTTCAATGAATTAACTTCTAAGGCTACCTAGGCAGCTTCGACAGATTTATTACCTAGGTACATAACTTTCCAAGGTTGATGGCAGCTTTTATACCTATCTACTAGGTAGATATTACCAATTCCACCTATTAAACCCAATCTCTACCAATATTTTCTTGCTCAGTATTAGAAATCAAAAACTCCGACCATCACCCCACCGACAATCCCAACATCACATTACCTTTCATCCATTACCTAGATATATATCACCGTATTCGCATAATTACCCATTAACCCTTACGCCTTAAGCTTTTCCCGCGCTCCAATAATCCTAAGTCCCACCACCCCTCAATAACTCCCCACAATGTCTTCCGCTTCGGTTTCGGCCTCGTCATCGTCACCATCTGCGCCTGTAAATCCTGACCGCTGGTTGGGCTCAAAGGCGTCGTCTCGTCATCTACGTGGCAAATCTCGGCCTTCATACTCTTTGCGCGGATAAAACTTTTGCCCGTAGGGACCGAAATTCCTAGCGCATTTGGGGATTGAGGGAGTGGAGGAGCCCGGCTGAGTCGGAATCCCTTCACTCGAGGCGACGCCGGGGTTGGCGTGATGGGCGTGAAGCCATCGTCGCTTGGAGTGGGCGGGATTACAACCGCAATTGGAAGAGTAGGCATCTTCCCCTTCCCCTTGGAGTTGGTATCGGTATTTTTGAGAGATTTTTGGTGCATGATGGGGATGTAATCCTCTTTCGGTTCATTGGATGGATCAAAAGAACGAGCCGCTGTCAAAGGTAGAACAGCTGGAGCTGGGGGAGGGGGAACATTGCTAATTGGAGGTTGCCTTGTGACAATAGTCGGGCCTGCATTTGCATTTGCATGGACCACCACGGAAGTTGGTGGTACTGGTCGAATATCCTCATCGACCGATCGAAGAATAGGGGGGCGGCGCGCGGGTTTGGGGGTTGCCAGATGAGGGGGCGGGACCCACCGGCCCAGTTCCGGGTCCTTTGCCGAGAGAAGCCGGGTCCCGAGTGCGGTTGGCCCCGAGATTTGTCGGGCTGGACCAAAATCACCCCGGTATGGCTTCTCGACTGTGGCTGCCCTTGCCGAGTCCCCGCGTGCGCCCGCGCGCCCCTAACCTTCAATGTCCTTGGGAGCGTCCGCGCCGCTGGATTTAATGCGGCGCCAGAGTCCGACGCAGACGACGCCCGAGAAGGCGAATAGTACGCAGAGCGCGATGCTTAGTCCCCAGACGGCCTTGATTTCATAGCAGTGCGGCTGGTCGGTAGTGATGAGGGCCAGATAGTTATTATATTTGGTAGCCGCAGAGGCGTCACGGGTTGAGATCGACAACGTGAATGTCGGTGTGGTTTCGGCGGGCTGGGGAAGCAATTGACACTTGAGCATCGATAAGGGCTTGCCAATGGTGACGGCAACAACAATGCTGGCTACGAGAAGTGCGAAGTCGATCCCTCCGGCGATAAGAAGGGGGAGAAGACCATCGTAGTATAGAATATAAGAAATAGAAACATAAAGAGTCGCGATGCTCGCCTAAAGATGGGTTAGTTTCGATAGGAGGTAGAGACGGGATCGGTTTTATAGATGTTTATACGTACTACAGAGAGAGTCCCAACGAGCACGTCCGGCATATCGCGATTGGAGGTCACAATGTCGTTAATGAAATTGGACGTCATGCCAATAATAGCAACGAGCGAAACGAACTGCATGGCTCTGAAGCCCGTGAAGGTTACGCCTAGGGCGCCGAGCTGGGGGGCCTGGAAACGCATTCTCAAGGGTATGCTCGTCTCGAAATTAGTAATTAGAGAAAGCTTCGGACGAGGTCGGTCGAGTTTGAGAATGGTGCGTATAGGAAGACGCCGCCGCGGGTATGGCAAAAACGGTTGGGGGTTTGAGGAGCGAATTGTGAATGAGTGACGGTTCGAAACCGAAGTAGCGAACGGCACCTAAGGAAAGTTGATTTCTGATTTCGAAAGAGCGAAATTCAGAGTCTGAAGCAGATCTACTGCGAGAAAGTGACCGATAGGAAATCCGAGAAGATAGTGAGTAGGAAATTCGTTTCGTATGACCTAAAGAAAGAGACGCCGAAACCTAAAGATTTTACGTTGCGTTCGTAACAGTAACCGTGATAGTATTTCCCTACAAAAGAGAGACAGATAGGAAATAAGAAAAATAAAAGGAAAAAGAGAAAGACTTAAGGGAAAGATTGAGGTTGTGATGAGAGATTGGTTGGTTCGTAAGGTACGGAAGAATAAGATAATTCGTTCTCGAGGAGCTCTACGCCTTATATGTCTCTTCATCGTCATATCGAACAAATGTATAAGGCAAGGGCTATTTTGTCCAGACCCTTTCGTCTAAATTGCCTATAGATAGCTTGACTAGGGTTTTGTGCCGAAGAATTCTAGGCATAGCTTCCGAGTACCTAGCTATGTCTTGGCCTTCACTTCTCTACTGCTCGAATGTCCCCATACACGTTCCTATTTTCGCAAACACTTAATCGGCACTTGGTACAGATGGCGGGAATCAAGACGCGCTGGTGTATCCAATCGGGGAAGAGATGATCGGCATTGCGCTTAAGGTATTATACAGCCGTGAACATCCTTCTATTAGAAACCTAGTATGAAATATCCATGTCATCGCGGATATCGTTGTTACGAGTACCGCAGTGCTAGTCATGGTATACCAATCGAGGTGTAGTCGCCTAGTTTCGTCTTGGTCCCGGTGGTGAAGATGGTCATCGTTGAATTCTGGTTGGCTGGAGATTTAGTCAACGCGAAATGAGATCGGTGGGTCAGTCAGGGGTCCTAAGCGCGGGCCGCGGTTAGCGGTCAGCTTAGGTACGGTATTCTTAGCCGCCAGCGTGGAGTACATGCGATGCTGTTGTTTCAAGAGAATCGTGGGTTATTAACCAATGAACTGACAGATCATTTTCTTTCGTCAAGTTACCTACTGATCTGTATACAACATTTCTAAGCAGAGATTTACAGATGAGGCGAAGTTAGGCCCGTTGGCCCAGCAAGGCGGCTCTGTCATCATGCAGATTACCTAGCTACCCATGCATTCGAGTCGTAGGTTTCGTTGCTAACCTATCGACCTATAACGGAAATGAACTGGAAGCTGTTGAAGCTAGGATGACCTATCATCATGAGGTTGATCTCGACCTGAAACGGAAACGACGTATACGATAGCTAGGGCGTTACATCGTGATATCGTAATACTATAGTTGAGGTGACACGATATCATATGATGTTTTAAATCGCATGAATACCCTTCATTATCCTATGCGTATATACTTGTCAGTAGGACTTCATGGACGCATCGTGGACTTGCTAGGCAATAATATCTAGTAGGTAAAGATTGGACAGCAGCGTAGATCGCGGCGCTTGTTTGTAAGTTGGCATTGTTTAATTTTCCTAATCTTTTTACTCCCCGGCGCCTTTTTTGAATGCGTCAAGTCCATCAATTCAACACCACTCCCTCTCAAAAACAAAAAGAAAGAAAGAGAATATCCTTCGCCGTCACTCAGCTTTCGGCTTTCAAATCTAGGTCCCGAGAGGTATTGCAAGTTACCAGCGTTGCCGATATGATATACAGATTTCTTCAATCTTTCGTTAGGTGCCTAGCATAAATCTAGGCGTGATCCGAGCCTCGCTCTAGAATACCTTATCCTTCATCCTAACAGATCGTCTAAGCCGCTACTTCCAGTCGTCGTGTTTGCCGGCGGTTTCGATGTACCGGTCGCGGGCGCACCCCACAGAGAGGCGCTGGTTTTCTCTTTAGCCAGCTGACCCATCTTAGGCCCAGTCGCGGGTGTGCTCGTCTTCTTCACGCCACTTCCGGCCTGTCCCCAGAGGTTGGCAAAGGGGTCACCTCCGGCCGCTGTTTTTGCCGCTGCTTGCCCAGCTGGTCTATTGAGTGCTGACATGCCGGAAGGCGCAGTTGCGCCAGATGCGGACATTCCGGAAATGGACGAGCCCGTGGGCTGTGCCTTAACCGACTGGAAATAATTAGGTGCTGCAGCCTGGTAATTTACTGCTGGTTTTGGTGCCTGAGCGGTCGGTAGGCCAAAAGCGGAGTAATTCGCTGCCGGTGTGGTGGTGGAGCTTACAGGCGGCGAGATCGACGACATCATGTCGGTTAGATTAGCTTGTTGCGGTCCGGATAGAGGCTTCGGCGCGGCAAATTGTGCGGTGGAGTGGGCGCTCGACGTTACCATCGGAGGGGGAATGCCTATATTGTTTGAGGTTGCAGGCGCTGCAGATTGGAAGTCGTCGAAATCATCGTCGTCATTGTTCGCCGTCGATAGGGAAGCTAGGGCGGAAGAACCATTAGACGGAGTAGGTACGGCAGCTGAGGCGGCCGGTGCAGGTTCGGGATCGTCGAAGGAGAAGAGATCGACTTCGGGCTCCTTTTTCTTTGGAGGTTCGGCAGGCGTAGTCTTCTTGACACCAATCCTCTCAGTCCGCTCGGGCCGCTTCGCTTTTGCGGAGCTCGACGGCGCGGATCCCTCGTCAAATTCGTCGTACTCTTCGAATTTGTCCGCGCGACTGCTGCCGGCATCTCTCCAGTCGTCTGACTGACCCCCGAAGCCACCACCGTCACCGTACACACCACCCGAATAACCGCCATAACCACCAGAAGGACCACCGAAGCCACCAGATTCGCTACCAAATCCACCGTAACGACCGCCGCTACCGGAAGAAAAGCCTCCCATAGCGCCACCCTCGACTCCGGTGTATTTGGCTTTGTTGGCTCTAGCCTTCTTGCGCTCTGATCGGATCCGCTCGACGTCACCGAGAAGTTCGGCAAGCTCCTTCGCGCGATTTCTGACGTTGATGCCCTGATCTTTGCCGTTTTGATCGATGAAGTGGAATTGACGCAACATCTTCAGGAGTGTGATGTGGCCTCGCGCATCATCGATAACCCTCTCAGAACCGTGCTTGATTAGAAACTCGAGTAGTTGAAGTGATTTGTAGATCTGTCTCCACTCCTCGGCGGACTTCTCAGTGAAACGGCGGTAAATCATTGGCATGATTTCGTTGAGGGTTTGGCTGACATCAACCAAGTTAGCATGACGATGACAAGTTAATAAGATGGAGTCGGATATTGCGTACTAATTGAAAGTGCCGTTTGCGATTTCTTGCATGATTGTCGACGATGCGCCCCATGGTTCATTATTAGTAGCTTCTCGTACCTATTGCGCGCCGAGATTAGCGTGTCGTTCTTGGTCGATATCGATCTAGGGGTACCAACCTTGGCCTCCATCTCCGTGTAGTTCATGACAGCTACAAGTTGTAGATGTTAATATTCAACATTGCGCAACTTATCATCAGGGGTGGGGAGCCAATTACCATTTTGGACTTTGCGAACACCGGCCTTGAGATCGTATAAGGTGAGGTTGCTCACTTGGTCTTTAAGACTGTTGAAATCCATCTTGGGCTATGGGTTTTTTCGTCCCAACTAGGGACGGCAAGTGGAATGGTTGGGTAATTACAGAGGCGACAAGTAGTAGATGTAGACAGATGTAAGATTCTAAAAAAAAGACGTTGACGGGTTGGGTTAACGTCGTCTTTATTTTTTGTTTAGGTTGGATAGTGAATTGGGAGTTTGGTATGGTATCGGGAAACTGACACTTTGATCTTTCGCACTTGGCTCTCCAGACCCCTGACTGAGCAAGTGCAATGACCACCTCGACAAGGTTTCCTTACAGGGATTCACAAATTCCTTACGTCAGCCAGGAAGATGATAGGCATGTCACGTGATTTTATGGTTCAGTTTGAGCCGAGACAAAAACAAAATATGAAAATACGTTAAAGATATGGATAGGTACCTACCTTGCAAACTTGGTACTAGATAAGTAGTAGGTAAAATGAAAAACTATTCTATTAAAAGAGTGTTTAGCCAATACAATAGTATTGGCACCTCTACTTTTTTATCCTAATATTCCAAGTTTAATCATACCGTTGTTTTATTAATTATAAACGACCTATAAGTACCTTGTATATGGATATGTTGTAGACTATTACCTAATGCTGGGCACCCGGAAAAATCGGTTTACAAGTCATTTTTACACTTACATGTACGTAAGAAGTTAGAACTGCTTAATCCCGGCGCTCGGACCAAGTTGCTATAAGTCAAGCTCTCCGAATTGGTCGCAAAATAGAAAATTTGATAATAATTCGTACCAACATCCAATCTCTCTCTAAGGACGTACTCGTTTTACTCTACCTAGTGTCCAAGTATACATCACATTGTAACATATCTACGAACCAATTCTTAACTACAACTTCATTACAAGGTACGAAAGCATTATTTCTTTTATTACCTAACTCCAATATGCACATTCGAAATTTGAATACAGCAAGAGCTCTAGGAGCCCCAAGAGCTCCAAGCGGAGTCTAGAGCTTAGGAGCTTCGAGATACTTAGCAATTCGTAATCTCTCTGAGAGATATTTCCATTAGAAAATTACGAATTCGTTAACGCCGAAGCTCCAACGAGCCTATCTTATGCGAATATAACGACGCCATTCTCCCGTTCCGGGTTCTACCTATCTGGCCAACTTCCAAAGGCCAAAACTGTCAAACAACTACCAGCCCTCTTTGTCCTTACCAGACCGAAGCATGCCGAATTTTTTGAGGATCGAATGAGCGGAAGTGGGGTTGAGCTGCAGCTCTGCCCTGCCTACCTGCTTGCCTGCCTCTACCTCCGCCTCGTTGGTGTCTGTAGATGTCGTGTACGTAGAGGTTGCATGCATCTCTAGTGGGATGCCCGTTGCAGACGTCCGGTACAAGAAACATCACATCCCATCCCACAAGCGTGGCAAATGGTCAAAGCAATATTCTGCATGAGAGCAGGATAAAAAGTGTTGAGGGACTCCTACCCCGTCTTTTTCAGAGAAGTGGTTACCCTATCCGACGGTGCTAGACGCACGTGGGTGACTCTTGGATCGTCAGTATCTCGAAGCACGTCATTGCATGCTTGACGACGCAGAAAGTACGGTGACTATCTTAGCCTTCCTATATTGGGCATAGACGAAATTTCAGTTCTTCATGGCTAGAGGACGTCGAAGATATAGGCCGATTGATGTTCGGAGACCAAAGTAGGTCAGCATTAACAACAGTATATACTTGCTAGGTTTGCCAAAGATGCGTTTAGGAAACGTCTCAAGTGAGGTATTTGGCTACCTAGATGTTAGGGATACTTGTCGGACACCTAGAATACCGGGATACTTGGCTACCTGTCAGAGGGGTGAGGGATGATGGGATATCCTCTAGACCCCTGACCCCCATACCGCCATCTCGTCATACCTTTTGATCACCGATTCCATCTTCATGATTGTACAAGTTTGTATGATCGAGAGACATTCTCTTATTTTGGATTTACCGTTCTGAAATGGTTTCCTATTTCATTTTCCGTGGCTACTTTCATTAAGTGCGCCAATTTGAAAACAATCAATTCGTCTTGTTTATTTCTAGTTTATTTACTCTTGTTTAATCCGTCATTGGCCGTCATTGGATCATTGGATCTGGTACGGTGTTGCGGTGTACCTATGTACTTCTTGGTAACTTGCGTGCCCTCAGTGCTGCGTGTAAGGAAGGAAGTCCGCCTCGAGTGACGACAACACGCTCCTTTCCAAGTTAGCCCCTCTATGGTACGTGTATTAAGTATACACTCACCACAAAAACGTGAGGCGGTACATCAGATACCTACGAACCTAACCCCACCTGTAACCCCTCGGAAAGAGCTTTTTTTCCTTTCCTCATTCTCGTGATATGATTGGTTCAATAGCTTAAGCTGACCCCTCCCTTACCATGTACAGTTCATAAACCAGTCCGCAAAGATGATGAGACAGACCTTTCAACCCCTCTTTCGACTGCCCCGCGCTGCGTTTTCTTCCTCCTCTTCCTCATTTTCAATTCCATCTTCCTGCTTCCGGCCTTCCATCTCTCCAAGGGTCTCAGCCTTTCCTTCATCACAAACAATTCAGCCATCTATTCGATTCTTCTCAGCAAGCTCTGTCAAGATGACGAACCGCGGACAGACAATCCGAGCGTAAGTCTATCGATCCCTCGTTTTGGGGCTCTCCATAGCCTTATAGGTATCCGGATAGAGAGTTAACCTATTGTCTAGCTTCCTCGACGTGGAATGGGAGGGCCCCGTCTTGGACGATGATTTGAACCCTACTTCTGCCGTTAAGGGTATGTTAAATCTCATTTTATGTTACTACCTGCCCATTCTAGTTCCTTTGCGAGGATCTAAGTCATTGCTGCATCCGACCGTAATAAACGGACACAGTTACATAGCTGCGTTCGTGTATCAGCAAATCCCCAATCTGAAGCTCAATTGGCTTCTCAGCACCGATTGCATTCTCTATGTCTGCCCCCCAGATAAATTGAAGCTAACGAACTTTCAACCTTGTAGTCCAGAACGGTCGTATTGAGCTGATCCTCTGGAAGGAGCTGGTTCCCAAAACGGTCGAAAACTTCCGTGCTCTCTGCACTGGCGAGAAGGGATTCGGCTACAAGGGCTCCTCTTTCCACCGTGTCATCCCCGAGTTCATGCTTCAGGGCGGCGACTTCACCCGCGGCAACGTACGTTACTTGATTATAGACAATCATATGTATATTAAATTCAGCCGGACCATGCTAACCCTACAATAGGGAACGGGTGGCAAGTCCATCTACGGAGAGAAGTTTGCAGATGAAAGACTCGACCTTCTCCACGAAGACCAGTACACCCTGTCCATGGCTAACGCTGGCCCCAACACGTATGTCCTCTCATGTACATTTCATATTTTCCCAACCATACCCACTTACCTCGTTTTTGATGCCTTTACATTTTTGTTCTGCAACTGACATCCCTCGTAAACAGCAACGGCTCTCAGTTCTTTATTACCACTATCAAGACTTCCTGGCTCAATGGCCGCCACGTCCCCTTCGGCACTGTCGAATTACTGGGTGACTCCGTCAAGGTTGTTAAGGCTATCGAGGCTACAGGTTCTCAGAGCGGTGCCATCAAATACAGCAAGCGACCTACCATCGTCAACGCTGGCGAGCTATAAGAGGCAGCCATAGAATCTGTTATCGTGTAGCAATATTTCTACTTGACATACAAGGCCGCGCTATGTTGCCTCATCGAGCATCGGTATAGGCTATGCAAAAGGGTTCGGACAAAAAGATTTCAATGGTTCAAGTTGCGAGTCAACTTAACTAGCAAGTCTACGTGCTAGGTACCTAGGTAGTTGCCAATGACATTTGCTTCGCTTTTAATTTTCATTGCGAGCCTCGTGATAGCCCGTGCGTAGTGTAACCCAACCGCCTCAAATCACTAATTATCTCAATATTAGAGACACTGTTTATGAATAATATTTACTAGAGAAGGGGGGGAACTATGGCGGTTTCGTATATACCTCAATCTCGAGTGTTAAGTTTCGATTCGTCTAGGAATTTGTCACAGCCAGCGCCCAAAAAATAAATAAATAAAGGTGTATGATTCTAATTCTTCGATCTTTTCAATCTTCTTTATTTGATCGACCAGTTTATTCCGTTCCCCCAGGTTTTCACGATAATCAAGCAAAATAAATCAGTATAGCAAACACGAAATGACACACTTTAGGCCACGCAATTCATTTATACTCGGTGTATCGTGCTCAAATAGACATATTCGTGTCAATCATTGATTAAATACCAGCAATGCGTAAAGGTCCTTATTATAATTAATATGTAGGTACCTAGGTAGGTATGAATATGACGAACTTCAATATGATACCATCACATCTAGTGGCAATCCCGACTAGGGTAATGGAAAGAAGGATACAATATTAAAAATTCCTTATCGAGTAAGCAAGCTTGTGCCTTTCAATAATTTTCCACGTAGAATCCTAGATTAGATATTTAAGAACCCATTGAAAGATAACGTACCTATACCTAGACCATGATTACCGTTGAGGTTATGATATTTGATGTTGCTACCGCACGCTCGCGAGTTAATACAAAGCTAGCAACGGCGTGGGGGTAATATGAGCGGAAATGTTGCGATTCGGCGATATCATTGGAGCTTGATAGGGATAGAGTGTTGCCATCGAGACATCTGGGTTCTGGAAGTGTCGAAAATCATAGTCAAGATGGTTAGGTACTTTCGAATTTTGTTTGTTTATGATATCAAGTTTATTTTCCGTTAAGCGCCATGCCATGCAATGCCTAATAACAACCTTGGCTACTCCTAAGCCGAGGGACCAAAGAGAGCATGTAATAAAAACCATAGTACCCACCAATCCCTTTCGTTGCCATTGGATCATGCCAACCATTTGTCAAAATACTCACATCCTCCGGCCCATACAGGACCGCCTTCCTCGCACAGTTCAAAGACGGGACACTGACCGCAAGGCACCGTCGTCAAACCATTAGTCCTCGGTTCCCAGAAATCCTCGCTGTCTAGCTTCGCCATCTCCGGGTTATGCTTCGAGATGCGCACGGCCCTGTAGCCAACCCGTTCGCCCATCTTGACCGCCTCGATTCGATTCTCCCAAACGAGTATATCAATCAGTTCCTGGACGTGCTCCGTCTTTAACGGCTGTCCCTTCGCTACTTGCTTCTGGATGATCTCCGTGGTAATCTCTTCGGCTGTCGGGTACCCGGTATAACCCGCCGGTAAGGGGAGGCGGACGGTGCCACGAACTTTGTATGCCGGGGGCGGCGCAGGGGCAGCGGAGTCGTCTCGGGACATGGCGTCCGCGGTTCGCTTCTTACTCTTCATCGCGGCCTCGGATGCGCCGCCTCGGATGATCCCTTTCTTTGGCAGAACGGGGCTGACGCTTCCGGGTTTTCGTTCGCCAGTGCTCCTGTAGCTACCTCTTTCCTTGATGATGCGTACGACCACCGTCTGAAGCACATCGATGAAGGCCTCGTCAAGATACTGGTCGGTGTACCATGGGCCTCCTGTCGCACGAGCCGAGGGCTGAAGGTTGAATTTTATCCACATCTTCTTGGACGTATTCTCGACGGTGGTAAATTGCTGGATGAAGCGCTTAGCTTCCAGCTCCTTGAGGGCCTTTCGCAAGGCATTGTCTTGAAGATTGAGGCGTTTCTTTATTTCTTGCTGCCACGCGCCTTCTTGGCCGGCTGCGTCGATGATTTCGTAGACGAGGACTTGGTCCTCAGAGGTTAGGGATTTATATCTATCGTGGCAACGATTAGTTCACGATCAAGGTGGGGAGACCGGAGGGAGAAAAGAAGCAACAGCGCTACTCACTTGACTGCTTCAGCCTCAGGACGGACTCGCCATGCTAGACCACTGTGGAAATGGACCGGAGCGAATAGTCGCTCTCTGGTCAAGAGTTGGACAATCTGTAATAGCTTCTTCACATCTTTAGGCGGGATGACGTTGAGGGCCATCAAGTCTTCCTGAGAGAATAACCTATTGGGGTCTCCACTACATGCATCTTCGCATGCAGTATAGAGCTGGGTCTTGAGAAGGGGGGTTTCATCGTCCATCTTGAATGGTATTTCGTAGATGACTCAGATGTTGAAATATTAATGGTAGACAGTTGAGGATGGGAGCGCGTTGAAGCGTCAAAAATTAGCTATGTATACATAACGGCTTTAGGAATGGAAATTTTTGTAAGGTTGAAATGAAGGATGTTGAATGTCGGATGTCGAGGTTATGGATAGAATCAAGAATGAGAAGAATTGCCCCGCGGCAACAAGGTCTATGAAGGAAAGCTTGGAAATAATTCTTATCGTTATCGTTATCGATACCTATCATTATTATACTTTCTCATCGCTATTGATGTTTTGCTTCTTCAATGAATCGGTCCACTACACATGCACGTAGGCGCAGTCCGAAGAACTGGGAAGTGCCTAGGCTTGTACTGGTACGTACAGATAAGGCGTAAAAGTACATTTGAATATGCATTAGACCGATCCGATGATTTAAATCTAGGGTAATTGAGTTTTTAGTGGCTGCTCGTAGTGCTGGGTGTTAAGGTACTAGGGGGACCAGCTTCCTTACATGTTATTGTTTGTACCCCACCAATAAACGCTTGATACCCCACCGTGGAAAGCGTAGAAAGCTCTCGAATTCAAACGCATTCAGCTCTAAAAAAGATCAAACTCCCAGTCGTCTCATTCCAACGACGACCTCCTTCACTTTCATAAAGCAAACTAATACGTCTTAATTCAAGGATACCAAAAAAATTAAATTCCACACCTCGCCCATTTACTTCACTCGGTCACCTAACTAAATACCTGCGTCTCGGGCGAACCAGAATCATCATGTCGTCTGTGGACGAGCTTAAGGCTCTAGGCAACAAAGCTATTGCCGACAAGAACTTTGACGGAGCTGTGTAAGTTTCATGTTGAATATATTTATGAGTATTATATTCCTAGTAGTTACATTGAAGCTACTGGAGAGACCTGGAACAGCTAAACTAACAAACATTACCAGTGACGCCTTCACCAAGGCCATCTCTATCGACCCGAACAACCACGTCTTATATAGCAACCGATCCGCTGCCTACGCTTCCAAGAAAGAGTGGAGCAATGCCCTCAAGGATGCTGAGAAAACCACCGCTATTAAGCCAGACTGGCCGCGAGGATGGGGACGAAAAGGAGCCGCTCTTCACGGCTCCGGCGACCTTGTAGGCGCAAGCGAGGCTTACGAGGAGGGCCTCAAACTCGAGCCTACTAACGCAGGCCTGAAGAAGTCACTCGACTCTGTTCAGAGAGCCATAGAGCAAGGATCCGGTATGTATACTTGGTATACCTAGAATCCCTAGTGTACCTAAAAATCAACTTCCTCTTCAAGTGATCGTATGTTCTCGGTATTGACGTTTTTTCCTGCACAGGTCCTGGTTTTGGCGCTGATCCTACGGGTGGTATTGGCAAGATGTTCCAAGACCCCAACCTACTTCAGAAGTTGATGAGCAACCCGAAGACTAGTGGCTACTTTGCCGACCCCTCCTTCATGGCCAAGATCCAGGCTATACAGCAGAACCCCCAAAATACCCAAGACCTATTCAGCGACCCTCGGATGATCCAGGTATTAGGGGTTTTGATGGGCATTGATATGCATATGGGAGGACCAGAGGATATGCCAGGCGCCGGCGCCGGCGCTTCAGGCGCAAACGAGGCCGAGGAAGATGTTGAGATGCCAGATCTCGCCACCCCCGATTCCAAGTCTCACTCCAAATCCGAACCGTCTAAGGCTCCTGAACCCCAACCCGAACCCGAGCTGGACGAGGAGGAGCTAGCTAAGAAGAAAGCCAAGGAAGAGGCCGACAAAGAGAAGGCTCTGGGTACTGAAAACTACAAGAAGCGTAACTTCGACGAGGCTATCAAGCACTATGGAAAGGCTTGGGAATTACACAAGGATATTACCTATCTCAATAACTTGGGTGCTGCCCATTTCGAGAAGGGTGAATACCAGGCTTGCATCGACGCTTGCACGAAGGCTATTGAGGAAGGTCGCCAGATCTATGCTGATTTCAAGATGATTGCCAAGTCTTACGCGCGTATTGGTACAGCATACGAGAAGCTCGGGGATCTTCCAGCGGCGGTTGAGAACTATCAAAAGTCCCTGACTGAGCACCGAACGCCTGATACCGTCAACAAGCTTCGCGCCGCGGAGCGTAGAAAGATCGACGAAGCCAAGAAGGCGTATGTCGATCCGGCCAAGGCCGAGGAAGCCCGCGAGTTGGGCAACACCAAATTCAAGGAGCAAGACTTCCCCGGCGCCGTCGAAGCATATTCGGAGATGATTAAGCGTGCGCCGGAAGACCCTCGGGGATACGGCAACCGTGCAGCCGCTTTTGTGAAGCTGTTCGAATTTCCTAGCGCTCTCGAGGACTGCAATGCGGCGATCAAGAAGGACCCTAAGTTTATCCGAGCGTACATTCGCAAAGCGCAGATCTACTTCGGCATGCGTGATTTTTCCAAGTGCATCGACGCTTGCAACGAGGCCACTACGGTGGACAACGAACACCACAACAATGCCAATGCGCGGGAGATCGACCAACAGCAGCAGAAGGCTCTACAAGCCATGTACTCTGCTCGTGAGAACGAGACGGAAGACCAGACCCGCGAGAGATTGATGAAGGACCCCGAAGTAAGTACTGCGCATATACCCATTACTTTTTATTATATTTAGATGACTGACGCTGTACTCTAGATTATGAGCATCATGCAAGACCCTGTCATGCAATCCATCCTCCAACAGGCTCAATCCGACCCTGCAGCACTCCAGGAGCATATGCGTAACCCAAGCGTGCGTTCTAACATTCAGAAGCTAGCTGCTGCAGGTGTCATCCGTATGGGGAGATGAGCGCTGAGCGTTGGTTGATGATTTTCGGCGTGGGGAAGTTTTGGGTGGAGGATAAGGAGACGAGTCCTACCCTAACCGCCTTGGTCCATGAATGCGTGAGACGATCAAGCGGTTAATCTATTAGTTACCGGGGCATTGGGTCATTGCCAAGCTGTATTCTAATTGTGAATCACGTTCAGGGCGTTGAAAAATGCACGGATGGATTAGGGGACGAAGACAGATGACTTTACGCTAATCAACAAATTTCAATGCTTTTGAGACTTTGTAATCAATTCTGTAAGTCATGGTGCAAGTTGGATCAAAATCAATAATGTCCATGATGGATCTATTTATTCTACGTTCGTCAGCGCCATAAAATGCCGCTGCTTCAACACTTTCCATCGATAACTAAATATTATACACTATTTGTGAGGAAGACAATATGTGCCATTAATTCCCGGATTTATCAAGTTTCAAGCGAGTTTTGAGGTTTTGTCTCAATCTTGAGCTTGGCTTTGATATTTTACAAAGTTCACTTGCGGTTGATTCTATAACTCAGCCGTGACAACCGGTACCATCTCTCCCAATACCATTGCCGCCTTCGATGCCACCTCTTTTATATTAATAACATTAGTCTCTATCACTAAAAAGATTCCCAGAAAATATGCGGCGTACACTTACAGAGGACTAATACTCTCCCACTGGAGAGTAAAGAACCCGACGAAGGCGCCAATTATGATGCTGATAATGACATAGCCATTATAATACATGGCAAGAAGCATGATCCAGTAGGCGAGAGCAAAGTGTAGTGTGTGTAATAGGGCACGAATTGCCTGTTGGAAAATATTAGGTCGAAATGGAATCGTGGAAGCAAGTGTCATGGCGTTTTCTTTCGCGATGAGAGCCCCGTGAGCCGTTTCGGAAGAGCCGTTCACAACTGTTGCAGCGAGTGCACTTGTTTTCTTCAGGTGCTGGCGGATCAAATATCGGTCATAAACCTTGGAAGCGCGGCGTAGGAGTTCAAGCAAGATAACGAGAAACGCAATGCCAATGCACAGACCTGCGAAGGCGCCTCGAGTTTTAATCTGCCACGACTTTGAGAGGAAGCATGCGTCGATTGTTTCCCAGTTCCAGAGCATCTAGTGTCAGTATCCATTAGCGAAATTTCGGAAAAAGCATGACTTACACGGCGAGCAATGGTAGGGTAGGTAAATGACATCGTCTTACCGATACTTTACAGTCATTATTTGTCTCCGCTGTACTTCCCATCGAGCTCATCCCTTCCATCCCCGCGCCGGAAGTTGGCTCCATTAAACTAGGTGTTGACTGTCTCGTTGACGTTGCAGACGAAGGAACGGTTCCTGTTGGCATTGACATTGGCATTCCGTCCATGTTAAAATGGTTTCGTCGATATTGCCAAGCGGATTGAATCCGAAGTAGTAATTACTTACCTAAGGAGGAGGAAAGCGGCCAAAAGCATGTTAGGTAAGATGGGGGATTTGAAAGGCTCTCAGGTCTCGAAACTAATTCTTTATTCGAAAGGCGATCTTTGAGGATAAAGGGGGTAACGTGCCGAGCAAGTAAGAATTGACGTATTGTGAGTAGCTCTAGACAAGGCCGGTGGCTCGGAGATCTGCTATGCTAGAATGATAGTGTCGTTATAATTAGAACTATACAGCTGATTCTTTCATTATAGATGAAAGGAGTATGATGACTAGAAGCAATTCGCCTGCTAAGACGCAAAAATCTCTCATGCTATTTTCTTCATGCCTACCCTTCATCAGGAGGATACAAAGACCATAACCCTTAATGTTATAAAATACACGGCGTTAGATACTCAACAAGTACTTACCTAAGTAAAGTCATTCGATGACCTTTACCACATTTTCCACCCACGGTCCTATCACCATCCCCACTCCCTTTCTCTCAACAAACTGACTTTTTTCCGATAATAGACATATGGTGCCATATTTGACGATAAAACATAGAATTATATAAGGATAGGTAAATTGTTTATATACCTACTAGGTAAGGATAGATAAAGACATAGTTATCCAATGTTCGCTAAGTTGCAAGGTTAATATACAAGGTATTCTGTAATAATATATGTAAATCTGGGCAACGCTCTACCATTCTGCAACAAGAATCAGCCGTATCCTCCTGAACCGCCAGAAACCTGGAAGTTAGTCATGATAGAAGCGCCGTAATCCACTGGCCCTTCAAAAAAGAAGTTTTGATCCATACCTAATCCCTCAAAGAAATCGTTCGCCCACGACATTCTCGGACTCCATTCCTCGTAGGGTGGTTGCCCATCAACGTCCACAGTAGATTCCATATTCCAATTTCCATCCATGCCTTGGCCGGCGTTCAGGTCCTGTCCCCCATTGACGCCGGCCCCTGTGGATGACCCGGGTTTCCGCCTCTCGCTATCCGCGGCTGCTACCAACTCGGCCCACCGCTCTAGCTTCAAGCGCGTGCCCTTGATTTTCTTTGCCGCCATCTCCCATGTGTCATTCTCCCATGGTAGGCCACCTTGCTTCTGGCTCGCTGCTTGTGCTTGCTCGAACCGCGAGGCCATAGCTTGTAGGATACCCGGAACGTCAATGTGGAGTTCGGGCTGTGAAAGAAGATGTGTCCTGATGACATGCACGGCGGAGGGTATCGCGGGGTCGATATCCTTAGTCCTGAGCGCGGGGACCGGGACCAATGCTGCTCCGCTACAGCCCGGATCGTTCCGAACCATCTGAGCCGACGCTGCTGCATTCGGGGCGAGCTTGCTGCAGTCGGGACTCGAGAGCTTGGACCATCGGGCTAGCATCGTCACGGCGTTGATGAGTTGAGCTGATACGGGCATAGGCAAAACAAAGTAGTCTGTCACATCTATGGATAACCAGAATTCGAACCACGACTTGAGCGTCGTATTGGCCCGGTAGAATATATCGAGCGAAGAGGCCGAGTCCAAGGATAGGGACGCTAGCGAGTTCGATATTTTTTCCAGGAGTGCGGCGTCGATTCTAGGCGGTTCCCATAGGCGTAATTTCGCAGTGTTGATGTGGCATGTTATGAGATCTATCAGGCCTAGATTAGTCGCCGCTCGTCGGCAATAAGTTTTCGGGGCCACATACGATTTGCTGCTAGGTTGGGGGGTAATGACGCTGTGAATTTCTCCAGCTCCGCGTGAAACATGTTCGAATAAGCGGTCGCAGGCGCGCGAGTGATGGTGTTTAGTTCGTCCGTAGTGTGATCTTTCGCGTGCAGTTGCGCGATGCGCTCGGAGAGATTCTGGATACGGACTAGTTGGACGAGAAGCAAGTCAGACTCATACTCCTGGTCGGCCTCGAGCTCTCCTAGACACTGGTCGATGTACGGGGTGTATCTAGGCGGATCGATCCGCTGAAATGCAAGCGCGATACTACTATCGAATGAGTGCTAGGACTTATATCTGCCACCTGCTCGTGCTTTATGTATATTTTCTTGAGCTAGGTGGGCATAGTATTCTCACTGTCACTTACATTGAGGTCATATACCAGACCCCACAAAGCATCCTCCTTTCGTCGTTGGTTCTGGCTGGTGGGGCTTCAGGATTTGTCTGTAATAATCTTGCCCTTTCTTGCAAATCGGGATTCCTATTAATACCCAGATCTGCGGCTAGGCTGTTCGCTAGTCCTATCAAATTATTCATCTGCGCGTGTATCATGCAGTGATAATGGTAGTACCCTAAGACGAGAAGGATGGATTGTAGGATCTCAAAAGATCGTTCAGAACGCATTAACATATGTTCGGATATGTGTTTTAGTATGAAGTAGTTTTGGACTCTCATGGACTTGATGTTGCGATAAGATGAGACCATCTGAATTGTGGAAAATAGGAAAGGACGCCTTGATGCCAACTCGGATGCCGTTGTTCCTGAAGGGATTGGCACGAATGGGTAGTTTGGCATGAGTTTGTCGATATAAATTGACAGATTGGTTTCGTCAGGCTCTAGAGGAATAGGAACCTCTCCCGCTGGAGCGCGACAGACACATATCCGAGGAGCACGCTCATTATAGGAGTTTGGTATCGGCAACGCAGCTGTCACTGGTTCATTATTTATCCCTAAAGCTGGAGTCGGGGCCTTTCCATGGACTGGGTCTGTCTCGGGTCTTTGTAATTGCGTCGACCCTTCAGCCTCCCCCAAGTAGGGAGAAAGTTGCCTGGCACCGGAAACTTGCCGCAATGGGGTAGGGACATCGGTGTTATTAGCTTTGATGAAATCAACGAGATTATTAAGTCTCTCCTCGAGCTGAGCCGTCTTACTACAATGGGCCACATCGTTAATGTATGTTTCTGCCCACAATGTGTATTATATGATTAACCGAGTAAGCTTTTATTGCTTCGAAGGGGGGTGAGAGTGTCCCTGCTATTCCCTCTACTCTGGAGATACAGGTACATTAGAGAAATCTTAAGAAGGTCCATCTGAAATGGAAGATCCCAAGAGGAAATACTACAGGGAAATATCAAGAAAGGCTGCTGGGTTTTATTATGAGCAGTCGTATGGTATATGGAGTAGGTATGTGCATCTCGAAAGTTATTAGAGGAACGGCGATACGTACGAAGGCCTACTTTGTCGTTTCTTCCTTGGTTTATGTACTTGACTGACGCAATCTTTCTCTAATCGTTCGCACCTGGAAGCCTTGTAAGCATGTTTCAGAGATAGTGCATGCATACATGTAGGTAAGCTGTAGGGAAGTATACAGTATACTCACCTATCACATCTGGCGCTTGGTACATTGCTTGATCGAATACATTTTGCTTTTGCCAGAGCACACGGAGAGCATGCGGCACCCCATTTAGCAATCGTAGCGGCGTTCTTTGGCTTGTCCATCAATGTCATCAGCAAAACATCAATATTTTCAAAAAAATTACTGATTCCAATCGCCGGCGGAGTTTAATAATCTAGGCCGTAAAAATTACGGTGAACATTATTAGAATCTGGGAGTTATCGAAGCAAGCTCAGGTGAGTATGGACGCCTAAGAAAAGGACGGAGTTTAAAGGTATTCTCCGGGATATGTACCCCATAAAATGCTACAGCCAATAATAATAATTCTTCATAGCGCCTTCACCTTAAACCGAGGAGACCGGACTTTCCAGAAAAAGGCCGATCAGCCGTTATGATTTAATTCGAGTCACACAGTAATACTTGGTACGCGCCTTCCAACCCGTTTCAAGAAAGCTCCGCGGCCTTTTGAAATTTATTCGTCATTCCTATCGTAAATAAACTTTTTTGGTCGTAGCTTCTAATGTGTGACAGATCATATAAATTATTTTTGGCATTGATTTTAAGATGTCACACCACTACTTTTGCATGTCGAACCTCAAGGTTGGCGTTTCTCGACTAAGGATAGGTAGCTGAACAACGTTTTACACGGCTGTTCGTCTAACCCTTAATTATGAATAGCCAACCGACGGTTCGGGATGGTCTCGCAAGAGACGTTGAATCTAGATTGAATGAAGAACATGGGAAAGGGGAGTCTGATGGAGCTATTCTCGAGGATCGCGATCGTGGCAACCACGCCGATGATGAATTATCTCCCCCTAGGGATGACCGGGATGGTACTACGAATACCAACCAACCACTTATGAGCGGATGGCCTTTTTACGTCCTCATGGCTTCCGTTACCTTGGGCGTTCTCTTGATAGCATTCAATGCTACCGCCGTAGGAACTGTGAGAGACACTCACGATCTGATATTTGTCTTTGCTTACACTTCCAGGCAATTCCTGCAATCACAAATGAATTCAACACCGTGAATGATGTTGGATGGTATTCTTCAGCATACTTGATAGCCAAGTTAGTCTATTTTGCCTCTCTCCTATCTACTCCCGAGCAACAAAAGATTAACTATTAGATACAGTTGCGTTATGGTACCCTTTGTTGGGAAGTTGTATAGATCTTTCCGAATCAAAGTCGTATTCATTACCTTCATTGTCATCTTCGAAATCGGGTCTCTAATTGCAGCGCTGTCGACGTCTTCTATGATGCTCATCATCGCAAGAGCGATAAGCGGTATAGGGGGTTCTGGCATCTTGAACGGCGGATCCACTATTGTTGCTGCTACTGTCCCGATAGCAAACCGGTCCTTTTTAAACGGCATCATCCTAGGCTGCTTCGCTGTTGGCCAGGCGGCTGGCCCCTTGATTGGGGGTGCTCTGACGCAGGGAATAACATGGCGCTGGTGTTTTTACATGTAAGCAATATCCGTCGCCACTTCTAGAGGTTAGGGCCTCAACTAATCCTCCTCATTCAGTAACCTACCAGTAGGGGGGTTGGTCGTTTTTCTGTTCGTATTCGTCGTAAGGCTACCTGTGTCGAGGCTTTCCGAAGTACAAACGTCCCTCCTACAACGAGTACTCGATATCGACTTTGTGGGATTTGTCTTCTTTGCAGCAGCGTCCCTCATGTTGCTGATAGGTTTGCAATGGGGCGGCACCGAGTACCCATGGAATTCTTCGACAGTCATCGGGCTCATGTGCGGCGGAGCGGCAACCTTCGGCGTCTTAGGATTCTGGTTCGCTTATAAGGGGGAGGCGGCTTTATTACCGCCTAGATTACTACGCAACCGAATCAATACTATGATCACCATTACTTCGTTCGTGCAAAGCGGTGGATCTATCAATGCTCTCTACTGGCTACCTGTCTGGTTTCAAGCAATTCAAGGCGCAGACGCGTTGCGGAGTGGTGTAATGATTCTCCCTCTGATACTGTCACAACTCGTCGCGTCTGTGGTATGCGGTGCCCTTGTCCAGAAAACCGGCTACTACCTGCCCGAGGTAATAGGGGGGAACGCTTTGGTAGCGATCGGGGCTGGTCTGACATCAACATTCACCCCGACCACTCCCTTAGGAAATATCATCGGATATCAAATCCTTATGGGAGCCGGTCGAGGCTTTGTATTACAGCTAGTGAGTGATACGCCGTCTCATCTACGAGCTAGAATACTAACGATCCCGCTACTCTAGTTAGTCACTGCCATACAAGCCAACTGCCCTAGAGAAGATGCATCGATAGCGACCGGGTACGCCATGTTTTCTCAATTATTGGGGGGCGCGATTTTCTCCGCTGTCGGAAAAAGCATTTTCACAAGCTCGATACCAACAGCTCTCCAGAAGTTCGCGCCGGATATCGATGCGAACTTGGTGATTAATAGCGGTGTGACGGAGATATCCAAAGTTGTCCCATCAGATAAACTAGCAGGAACACTGTTAGCTTACAACCAAGCTATCAATCATGTATTCGTAAGTGATCAATTATTTTGATAGCGGCTTGTGCTAGCTAACGCGTTTCTAGTATCTTCAAATTGCTGCAGCAGGCTGTGCATTTTTAAGCGGTTGGGGAATGGGATGGAAGAATTTAAAACAAATCAAGCAAGAACAAGAACGAGAAAAAGAAGAGAAGAGCGACGCTGAGTTGACGGCGGCAAGGCCCTGTGAGAAAGAATGAGGAGGATAGCCGCTTAAGATGTATGAATCTTTCATGGCCTAGAACGTACCTACATAAGACTTATGTAAGTAGGTAACTAGGTAGGTACCTAACCTATAAAAGAAAGAACTTTGAGTGATCTCTTGCTGTCCCTTTGCTCGATTGGGTATTATCGTACCTTTCAGCCAGGTAAGAATATGCTAAACCTTGTCGAGGCAGCCAAGCAACCCGATATCTTCAACATTGGCTACCTAGGTACCTATGGGTGTCTAAGAAATCAAACTACGTATGTATACCTATGTAATGGATTATATATGCATATATGTAAATACTTTTTACTAACTTACCTACCTAGATAGGTATATAGGTATTAAAAGTTACGCGAGCCAATTAAACCCAAGAAATGCTGATGAAATCACATAGTTGTGGATTTGAAGCGATGGCCACACGCTTGGAACGAGTGAAAATCCTCAATACGACGGGTTGCATCCATATTTGCTACATCAAGTTTAGACTCATTTTAGTCCCATTTTTAAATTGCTACGCCGCAATTACTTACTGATATTAAGCCTAGACCCTCGACAAATAAATTCCCGATCCAGGACGAAGGTCGATCTTTCTAACCCGAGTCAGGTCTATCATGGAAGAATACGATTTTATCATCGTCGGGGCAGGGCTTTCAGGAGTCGATGCTGCATATCGCCTCAAATCCCAACTTCCACAGTGCTCATACATCATCTTGGAAGCTCGGGAAGAGATTGGCGGTACCTGGTCGTTCTTCAAGTTTCCTGGTGTTCGATCAGATTCCGAACTTGCTCTGCTGGGCCTCCCCTGGCGGCCATGGACACACGAGAATGATATGGCAGACGCTGATCTCATCCGCGAGTATATCGAAGATGCGGCACGAGCTGAGGGTATCGACAAGAAAATACATTTTGGTCATCGAGTCACCGGCGCTAGTTGGTCTTCCGACGAACAGCGCTGGACTTTATCAGTTCTCGCGGCCGATGTTAAAAAGGAGTTAAATGCCAAATTTCTACTTGCTTGTACTGGATACTACGATTACGCCAAGCCACTTCAAGCCGATATACCGGGTATGAGTAATTTTCAAGGTACGATTGCGCACCCGCAGTTCTGGCCTACAGACCTTGACTACGCCGGCAAAAAGGTCATCATAATCGGCTCTGGCGCAACCGCCGTCACTATGGTCCCAGTAATGGCCAAGACAGCGAGCCAAGTGACGATGCTTCAACGGAGTCCTTCCTATGTCATGAGCCTTCCTCTGTCAAGCCCGGTTAATGTATGGCTGAAGAAGCATCTTCCGGGGCGTATTGCTCATTTAATCAACTGGTGGATGTCCGTATACACTCCGTCCTACCTAGCCATAGAGAAACTGGTGTTTCAAGTAGCACCGACTAACGCTTGATCACAGCTCTCTTATTATGGAGAATCTCTTCGTGTCCTTTAGCATAAACTTCCCGAATCAGATGAGGAATATCATAACGAAAGAGATGAGGGCATTGTTGCCGGCTAAGATCGACGTCGACGTCCATTTCAACCCTAAGTACGACCCCTGGGACCAACGGGTGTGTATGTGTCCTGATGGCGACTTCTTTAAAGCGTTACATCAGGATAATTGCGACATAGTCACCGACCGTATCCGAAGTGTTACAGAGGATGGCATATTGACAGAGTCTGGGAGGAAGTTAGAAGCAGATATTATCGTGCCGGCGACTGGCCTACGTGAGTAGCTTATATCGGTACAAGTAGATCTCTTGGAACGCTAACTGCGTAAATTCCAGGCCTCCATCTGTTCGGAGGCATAATTCCCGTCGTCGACGGAGATCCGGTCAACATAGGGACTAGCTATTGTTGGAGAGGAACCATGCTTTCCGGCCTTCCGAATGCCGGAACTGTGACCGGATACACGACGACTTCATGGACGGTCGGAGCGGACGCCAGCATTAAATTGCTCATCGACGTTTGGAAGCGCATGGCAAAGATAGGGGCAACCTCAGTCGTTCCAGTTCATTCTCATGACGACATTCACTCGTCTAAGCCGGTGGTAGCACATAGCTCGACTTATTTCGTCATGGCACAGAGTAGGTTTCCTAGAATCACGGGCGAATCACCGGTGAGTTTTATCCCCTGCTCCTAGACCACACATATACTACCGCTTTCGTATTTCAAGCCCCTCTACTATGAACTACTCATATGACCTAAAAAGCGAGAAGGCTTCTAGTCAGCTCAAATTAGATGGCATTCAAGTTTACTAACTTCGTCTGTGATAGTGGTATGGCCGCAAGAATGTGTTTTTCGACTACTTCCAGCTCTGGTTTGGAAGCTTGACAAAGGGCTTGAAATATACCTTGGCTTCAAAAAAGAATGAATAATAGTCAAAGCTTAGCTCATATATCGGTCGAAGTCGAAGTAATCTACATGCACCAGTTTAGTACCTACATGTAGAATTGATGAATGTTACTTTCAATAGGTACTGACCTAGGGCCCTCCTATGTACCTTCTTTATACATACGCGAACACGTGTATAAGTCCCTCTTTGTGGGGTATTTGATGGTGCCTAGGTAGGTAGCATCCAAAGTAAAGAGAATTGGCCAATTATTAGCAAGATCCAAGTGTTGAGATGTACGTATTTATTCAATGTATCCATGGATACGCACATACCTACCTAGCTGCTTAGGTACCTCTAGAATTGAAGCGGGTATGATATTGGTTCTATATTCGATTATGTGGTCGGAGAGGAAGACGCTCGGGTTAAATTTCTGCCAAAGCAATCAACTTAAATAATTGGGGTAATATTCCCCGCAGATTTTTCGAAGCGGGAACCTTATTGGAGATTAGGTAGGTACTAGGTACCTATCTTATCGAATCTCGTATGTCATTGAGCTCCGTCCCTACCTGCATAGCACTAGGTACCTAGACATACAGCTCTAGAATCTGTTCAAGACATCATGTTTGTAATCTTGCCGCACAATAAGTATAGGTATACCTACCTAGTACCTGGTAGCAAAATCCACTCCAAAAACCTACCGTGAAACAATCGACATCAAATATGCCCGACTTCAGACCGGCACTGTTAATTGTAGATCTCCAAGAGGACTTCTGTCCTCCGGTAAGTTCATTTCGAGACGGCCAACGAGATTGATAATTGCCTAACGATGATCAGAATGGCTCGCTCGCTGTAGCTAACGGCCGTGACATCGCGCCACTGATTAACAAGCTTCTAGAATTACCTTTCGTGGCTAAGATCGCAACGAAAGATTGGCACCCTATCGACCATGTCTCATTCGCAGCTAACCACGAAGGAAAATCCCCGTTTCGGGATTTTATCAAGATTGAGAACCCGCACAACAGGTCGGAAACTTACGAGTCACGGCTGTGGCCGGTCCACTGCGTACAAGGCACTCCGGGAGCGGAATTGATCCACGAACTAAGCGCCAGCCATCTGGACACGGTCCTTGAGAAAGGGACAGATTCGCGGGTCGAGATGTACAGCCCTTTCTACGACCCCTTTGTGTCTCCACGGGTCTACGATAGCGGTCTCGCTAAAGCCTTGTCAGAGAAGCGAGTAACAGACCTGTACGTGGTAGGACTAGCAGCGGATTACTGCGTAAAGAATGCAGCACTCGACGCTGCTAAAGAAGGGTTTAAGACATACCTGGTTGAAGAGTGTACTAGACCGGTCGACGTGTCTGCTTGGCCTGGATGTAGGGAGGAAATCAAGGCCTCGGGGGTTAAAATAGTCAGCATGGACGGTCCGGAAGTACGTCGATTGATGACGGCACAGTGAGCGGGCAAGACCGGCTAAGCTGAAGTCTCGCTGAGGATGACTTCCACTTCTTAGCACATACACGTTACCAGCTGTGCTATCATATGTTTAATAATGTGAGCTCGGAGTTTGCCTGATCCAGTAACAACGATGTCTTGCAGCATCCCAAGTCGTACAAGCCGGCAGCGGACTTACGTGAGAGGCAAAGTCAGTCCAATCACATAAGAAATAAAGTGCCACGGAAACATAATACGGATAGATATGATACCTATACCTTGCATGAGTGACAATTCGGGTCAAAGTGGTTGGGTTGGCTCGGAATTCTCACCTAGGAATTTATCTGATAATTAATGTGAAAGTAAAAGATCCTGAACATCCTTAACATCCCCCGAATATCTTTAGTGGAGAATCCGAGCCCACAAGGAACTCCTCCGATACCACAAATCATGTAAGACAGGTTCCGACTACTATAAGCATATTTGTTGTAACACTGCTGCAGCAATGGATCGCTTTAAAAAGAAGCGTGGGGGACAGCTATTCGCCTTTTCTTGCTTCTATCCTTCCCACCTTGCCACACACTCCACATCTGCCTTATGAACCGCTCACCTACTAGATAAAATCTATCTGGTTTACCTTTGTCATATTCTCATTCCAATACGCTTTCGTGGAATAAGGAATATCTTAAGAAACATTATGACGGGTAATTGAGAGGTATTTCCTAGAATTTTTTTGCTTGAGTTCTTTAGACTTGAATGTGCCAAGGCACACTGTTTGTCATTGGCGCTTTAGTTGCAAGGGGAACCGAAAATGAATTGCGACGGTACATGCTAAACATGGATATCATGTATCTATACCCAATAGCTAGAAGATCAATATCATTTAAGGAAACGACGTTTCCTTCGGTGGATAGGTAGATAACATTTATTTTCGTGTGAATACATAGGAGGTAGGTAAGATACCTAGTAGTTTTTATGGCTAGGAAGATCGTGAAGAGCATTTATCATTGTCAATCGCATCGTACAATACATCAAATAGAAGAGAGTTCGAGAATTACACGCTATGGCTACCTAGGTAGGTACCTAGTTAAACTCGGCACCATTATACTCGGGAACGCTAGAGTTTGACACCATCTTGGGAACATATAGGTATTAATTACTTGATGTTACATAATTCCAACTAAATCAGTACTTGTATTTCTCGCATGAGTACATACAAATGTGCCAAGCCTATGTAGGAACAAAAGTAGCCGGGTACGTAAGTGGTAGAAAGTGTGATAGAGAAGAAGACAAAATGTGGAACTCGTCATCGAAGCATTTCCCTTTCGGGTAAGCTTTGTTAATCGATAACAGACCGGCGGTGTAGTGGATCCCCTAATTTTGAAGATTGGGACTGTGTTGCCATGTGTTTTGAGAAATAAAGTAAGTACTTGACTAAAGCACGGAATAACGAGTACACAGATGTACACGCTACTAGGTACCTACTAGGTAGGCATTGAAATACTGAAATTTCTCTCTACACCGATGGTAATAAATCCCCACCTCCCCCCTTTACACCTACGACCAACTCTTCCAACATTTCTTTCTCCCCCAACTCCCTTTTGCGTGTTGGTCTACGACGGCCTAGCGGTTCAACTTGCCAATTCAACTTTGACCGCCCGAATTAGCCATCATACGAGACTATTCAAGAGCTTGTCACCTATAACTCGACTCAACTCGAGCTAGCTTCCTGATATAGTTGAGGCCGATCTCGCCTACCTAGGTACGCTTACAACTGCGAAATTATCTCAACTACCTAACCAACCTTACCTTTCTCCTGGATTTATCGACGGCACAAACCTGTAATTCTTTCACTTTGCCATAGTCCTAGCTTTAGATAGTCGAGGACGAATGGTAATAGTATCCTTGACAGGCATATTAGGTATGAGAAAAAAAGTTATTTTTTGGCTCAGGTCTCTAGATTATCTTGCTGTCTTCCCAGCCTCACACCGTGCGTGAGGCTAGAGGATGAACGATTGTCCTTCTTTAAAGACAGAATGGAAGATCCGTGCTAATATACATTCACCTTAGATTATAGACCGAACGTAATTACAAGTTGACCGTTGCCAATGCCTTCGCGGTAGTGCTGTCATGATTGCCTCTACATTTCTCCCCTCCCGCTTTCGCGGTGAGCAACCGAGCGATACCCCCGTCTTACCATCTAAGACAAACAAGAGAGTTACACCAATACTCCAATTTTTCTCCAAGATAGCTTGTTTACACCCAATACATACCATCGTCATCGTTGCCTTGATAGCGAGCACGACATATGTCGGTGTCGTCAAGGAAAGCCTTTTAGATGTCACGAGAATCGCGAGAAACACCGATTGGTCTTCCTTAGTCGAGGGTAGTAGAAGCTTACGAACCGGTCCCGAGACTTCGTGGAGATGGCAGAGCTACGATGCCGATTCAACCACTCTTAAAGACGCCGAACACCTAGCTCTGGTCACTCTGGTCTTTCCGGAGTCGTCCGAAGATGCGCCTCAGACCGCGCCGCTGCCTCACATCGTCCCGCTACCCCAGAACCTGTCCATCTCGCATCTGCCGTCCACCCCGAACCCGCTGACCGCCTATTCCCAAGACAGCGCTCTCGCGTTTGCCGTAAAGTACAGCGAAGCCGCGGAATTCCTCGCGGCCGCACAGGAGATCCCTAACGATGTGCCCGGACAAGAGTCGCGCGAGACCGAACTCGGCAAGCAAGAGCAGAAAATGTGGATCATGAAGGTTGCCAAGGGCTACACCAGAAGCAGCGTCGTCAGATGGGTTCACAATGCCTGGATCGAGTTCCTCGACTTGATCAAGAACGCCGAGACCCTGGATATTATCATCATGGTTCTTGGATATCTATCTATGCACCTCACCTTCGTGTCGCTCTTCCTGTCCATGAGGAAGATGGGATCCAACGTCTGGCTCGCCATTAGCGTGCTGTTCTCCTCTACCTTCGCTTTCCTATTCGGCCTTAATGTCACCACCAAACTCGGTGTTCCCGTCAGCATGGTCCTGCTTTCCGAAGGCTTACCTTTTCTCGTCGTGACTATCGGCTTCGAGAAGAACATCGCCTTGACGCGAGCTGTCCTGTCTCACGCACTCGAGCACCGCAAGCCTGACGAAGACGAAAGGAAAGAAGGCAAGTCCAAGAAATTCCTGGCCTCTGACAGCATTATCCAGTACGCCGTGCAGCGCGCAATCAGGGATAAGGGATACGACATCGTCCGAGACTACGTCATAGAGATTTTGATACTTGTTGCAGGAGCCGCTTCTGGTGTGCAGGGTGGTCTGCAGCAATTCTGCTTCTTGGCTGCCTGGATCCTCTTCTTTGACTGCATCTTGCTCTTTACCTTCTATACTGCCATCCTGTGTATCAAGCTTGAGGTGAACCGTATTCGTCGCCACGTCGAGATGCGGAGAGCCTTGGAGGACGACGGCGTCAGTCGTCGTGTCGCAGAGAACGTCGCTAAGAGTAATGACTGGCCTCGACAAGGCGGCAAGGGTTTGTCCGACGAGCCCCTCTTCGGCAAGGACCTCGAGAGCAGCAGCGTTCCCAAGTTCAAGTTCTGGATGGTTGTCGGCTTCCTCGCCATCAACGTCGCAAACATCTGTACCATCCCTTTTAGAACTTCTGACATTTCCAGCATCTCTTCCTGGGCTGGAGGGTTGGGAGGCGTAGTTAGCTCGCCGCCCCTGGATCCTTTCAAGGTCGCTTCTAACGGACTCGACGAAATCCTCTTCAACGCGAAGAGCCATTCGGCGCCGACTATCGTAACTATCCTGACCCCTATCAAGTACGAGCTGGAGTTCCCCTCAATCCACTATGCCGAACCGCCTCTAGGTTCCCTCGACGGGCATTACGGCAAAGGCGGTAGCTATTCGCAGCTGCACGGCTACGGCGTGGGAGGACGCATGGTCGGCAGCCTCCTGACGAGTCTAGAGGATCCTATCCTATCCAAGTGGATCGTCGTCGCTCTAGCCATGAGCGTCGCCCTCAACGGCTACCTCTTTAATGTAGCTAGGTGGGGAATCAGGGATCCTAACCTGCCCGACCACCCCATCGACCCCGAAGAGCTTGCCGATGCCGAGAGATTCAACGACACCCAGTCCGCCACCCTCCCTCTCGGAGAGATTCAACCTAAGCAAGAGCCAATCGTACCGGATAGGCCGATCACTCCTGCTTATACCGACGACGAAAGTAGTCAGCCCGCCCCCGTCTCCCAGCCGTCAAAGGTGCCGACTGTACGGAGGAGCCAGGCCGAGCTCGAGAAGATGCTGGCTGCGAAGCGAATCCACGAAATGTCTGACGAAGACGTCGTCTCCCTTTCTCTCAAAGGCAAGATCCCCGGTTACGCTTTAGAGAAGAGCCTGAAAGACTGCACACGAGCTGTCAAAATTCGTCGTAGCATTATCTCCCGAACCAAAGCAACTGCGGATGTCACCGGCCTCCTCGATCGATCCAAGCTCCCATATGAAAACTACAACTGGGAACAGGTCCTCGGCGCCTGTTGCGAGAACGTCATTGGTTATATGCCGATCCCCGTCGGCGTGGCTGGACCGCTAGTCATCGACGGCCAGAGCTATTTCATCCCCATGGCCACTACCGAAGGTGTGCTTGTCGCTAGCACGAGCCGCGGCTGCAAGGCGATCAACTCGGGCGGCGGTGCCGTCACGGTTTTGACCAGCGACGGGATGACGCGTGGCCCTTGCGTACAATTCGAGACTCTCGAACGTGCCGGCGCCGCAAAACTTTGGATCGATTCTGAAGTTGGTCAATCTGTCATGAAGAAGGCGTTCAACTCTACTTCGAGGTTTGCCCGGCTACAGACAATGAAGACCGCGCTCGCGGGTACCAACCTCTACATCCGGTTCAAGACGACCACGGGCGATGCCATGGGAATGAACATGATTTCGAAGGGTGTCGAGCACGCGTTAAACGTTATGGTTAGCGAGGGTGGCTTTGAGGATATGGTAATCGTTTCGGTGTCTGGAAACTACTGTATCGACAAGAAAGCAGCGGCTATTAACTGGATCGACGGCCGAGGCAAGGGCATCGTTGCCGAAGCCATCATCCCCGGTGACGTGGTGAAGGCGGTTCTTAAGACCGACGTCGATAGCCTCGTCGAGCTCAACACGGCTAAGAATTTTATCGGATCCGCCATGGCTGCCTCTATCGGAGGATTTAACGCCCACGCAGCCAATATCGTCGCCGCCGTCTTCCTCGCCACCGGACAAGACCCGGCCCAAGTTGTGGAGAGTGCTAACTGTATCACCATCATGAAGAAGTAAGTCTTATGTTTTACGAGCCTTGTGTTGACCCTGATCGTTTCGTATGCTAACTCGCCGAAAGCCTACGCGGGTCATTGCAAATATCTGTATCTATGCCGTCTATTGAAGTTGGTACGCTCGGCGGCGGCACTATCCTAGAACCCCAGGCTGCCATGCTCGATATGCTGGGCGTCAGAGGTTCCCACCCAACTAACCCTGGCGATAACGCGCGTCGCCTTGCCCGCATCGTCGGAGCGTCGGTCCTTGCCGGAGAATTGTCCCTCTGCAGCGCCCTTGCCGCCGGCCATCTAGTCAGGGCTCACATGGCACACAATCGCTCCGCACCTCCAACCCGCAGCACCACGCCGGCTCCTATGACACCGGTCGGATTATCAATGACGGCCAAGAGCGCCGCCGCCGTCGACCGAGCAGCCGCGTCAAAACGATAAACTATTTCATATATTTCTTCGTTTCTGTGTGTGACTTAACTTTTGGGGTTACAACATCCGATGATGACTCGTTCTGTTTAGAAGATAATGATACATTGTGATAGGCGTTCGATGGGTTCGCGTTCGGGTTTTGTTCCGCGCGAAAGTTGCAAAGACCACTAGGCAGGTATTTTGCAAGAGGTGTCGAGGGAAGTCGGTTGGGAATTCGTCACGTTATGCACAGTTTCTGTTCATCCCATTCTTGAGAGACGAATAAGAGCATGTTAAGCAGTATAAGCATAGGCAAGCGATTGCGGGCGTAGAATAACTTTAGTAGAAAGGTGCTTCTTCATAGATTCCCGAAAAAAAGAAACATGGAGTTCGTATACAGCTGCTAGCGACACTCGGCCGTCAGGGGTTTTTGCTGGGATGGGAGTATCGGTAGAATACCCTTGGGCTAACTGTCGCTTAGTATAGATAATAAAGTCATTGATAAACAACTGCTATTTCTCTATGATTAATATTAAACTATAATTTCGGTATATGCTATCAGGTATTTAACAGAAATAGTTGTGAGGACTTTAGTAATTTGACGAGAATACCTACCTAGGTAGGTAGATACTGAAATATCGTCACCGGTCCTTGCTAGTCTCCTAGCTCATGCAGAACCACGGATTACGACCTTGCCCTTTACACGCCCCGTCTTCAATTTCTCAAATGCCTTCGGCGCATCCTCGTGTTGGAACACTTCGTCAATCACCGCCTTCACTTTGCCTTCCTCGAACCATTTTGCGATCTGCTCAAGATCCTTATGACTGTTCTTCGTAATGTAAAATTCCAACTTTCTCTTTCCTCCTCCCAGAAATGAAGGCCGCAATTGTCTCGATGTTACATTCGCCACGCCACCTAATGACATCTCAACGGTGACTTGCATGAATTTGCCTTCAGGAAGTAGGTAATGATCGGCCGCCTTGTACAGATCCGCAGGTGTACTTCCGATGTTGTCGACCGCTAGCTTGAAAACCTGTCCCTTCGCCTTTAGGGCTTCGCTCACGTTCTCCTTCGTGTAGTCAATGACCTCATCAGCCCCAAGCTTGCGAACTAGTTCCTCGTTCTTCGCCGAGCAGCTCGTCGTCACGTGGCACCCGACCGCCTTCGCAAACTGGATCCCGAATGACCCGGTCCCGCCACTACCACCGTTGATGAATACCTTGTCCCCGGCCTTGACGTTGGGTACGATGCATTGAAAAGCCGTCAGCCCAGCCGTCCCTATCGTGCTCGCGTCCTCGAGGGACACGCCCTCCGGTACGAGCGCTATGCCTTCGGCCTTCGCAGGCACGTACTCGCCCAGCGTACCATACTTGTTCGGCTCAATTCTCCCAAATACCTTGTCACCGGCGCTGTAGCCGGTCACCGCAGAACCCACCGCGGCCACAACACCTGCGAAATCGAGGCCTGGGGAGGCGGGCGTGCAGACGATGAGGCGGGATAGGAGGCCGAGCTCCGGTAACTTGTAGTCCACAGGGTTGAGGGAGCTGGAGTGCACCTTCACGAGGACGACGTCTTTTGGCAGAGCTTCGGGGAATGGGGCCGATGCATCGGAGACGAGCTTGAGATTCTTCTCGACGCCCCCGGCGGCAGAGGTGTAGACCCAAGCTTTCATAGTTTTGGGATTGTCAGACATGTTTCTGAGCCTTCGTGTACGTACTTAGTTCAGCGAGAAATTTTCATTGCAGAGAAGAAACAGGAATTGGGTTTTTCGGATTGGACCTCGGCTTAAGTACCTATTTACGTACTGCATAGGAACTTACGAATATAGTCTGCCTAGTATGCGGGCTAGGAATTTAGAGCAAAGGCTAGATCCTTGGCGAAGAATCTTGGAGAAGATTAATTATTAATGTATGCATGTGTATGTCAGGTTACTATCATCAATGATGGTGTGTTTCACATATTCTAAGATGAGCTTCTAATGTACGTTGAATGACGTCAGGATACAATTAGCCAATCCATCGAACCGCCCTTAATACTTCTTAGATAACACCATTGAACCTTCGATGTTACATACCTAGGTACCTATCTCTCGGTCTCATTCGTCGCTTACGACAACCACCATTTTCGCGCCGCCCCCACCTGATTCGAGTATCTCATGAACTGCGCGTATATCTTCGAGTTTGAATTCTCTCATCGGAATCCTCAGCTTTCCGGTCTCGATATCATGGATTAATTCTTCCCACGGCAAGGCCATAAAATCATCCGGACCGCCTCCGTAGGCGCACAGTCGTACACGATTAGGTAGGTCACCCATCGGGGTAAACTTCTCCATCTCCCATTCGCCGCCTTGGAGTCCCGTCATGCACACAGTCCCTTTTGGAACCGCGCACTTGATAGAGTCTCGGAGGGTAGTCGTGCCAGTTAGTTCAAGAATTTTGTCAAAACCACCCTCAGCATTACGGGATACCTCTCTCGCGATATTGCCGTCGTCGACGAAAAATTCGGTAGCACCGTTCTGGCGTAACAGTTCTCCGCGTTCCGCATCTCGAGACGTTGCTCCGATACGGATCGCACCGATCTTGCGAGCTAGCTGCAGGGCACAAAGCCCGATCGAGCTGGTGGCCCCCCGGACGAGTAGACTTTCGCCCTGTTTCAGGTCCAAGCCGGCGACTAAGGAGCCCCAGGTAGTCTGAAGCATCTCTGGCAACGCGGCTAAAGTACCGACAGAAAGATTGGTCTCCGGAATGGGGCGGACGTTAGCCTCGGAAACGCACGTGTATTCGGCATAAGAGCCCGGGATCTGCCGGCCGAGGCCACCCATACAAGTGGCTACGCGGGTTCCGATGGCATGCCTCGGGGGGTTGGACTCAGCAGTTTCCGCTGTGGGGTATCCCGCAACTACTCCGACGCATTCGATCCCGATAATTCTAGGGAATTCTACGCCCGGCGAGTGACCTTGGCGCGTGAACATTTCTGTTCTCTGGTTAGAGCCGGGGTGCTTACACTACGGCACATATACGCGGATGGGTCGGACGTGGAAGACTGACCAGCTCGGTTTATGCCGAACCCTAAAACCCTGATCAGCACTTGGCTTGGCTGCGGTGTCGGCAGCGGTACGTCTTGAATCTCCATGATGGAAGCTGGTCCGGTAGCGGTGCAAATTACCGCGCGCATCGTTTTTGGTGGGGCGGATTGCATCTTGGTTACTCTACTCACATACGACTTTTCGTAGGATGATGATTATGATAGCGTCGATTCTGCGCCCAGGGGCTCGGGCTTAAGAAGTATTACCTCAATTACTTAAGCTGTTAGGTAAGCTGATCTTGTTATCTGATCCTTTTCATCTTTTTGGGGGGAGTTCCCTTTGTTTTTTTTATTTTTTCTTTTTATTTTTCTTTTTATTTTTTTTACACATTATGTACGTCCTTTACTTATTAGGGTAATACGCAAATGAGTTACATAGTGTAACGATGTGAAGTCGTGCTCTGGTGTTGCTCCGAGTCCTGACCCGCGCCGCCTACCAGTCGTTGTCGAGATATGGGACGACTACCGAGGTTGGGTATTTTTCGGTACTTTCCTCCGCACCATCGTAACACCCGGATGGAATGCTATCGTGAGCTGGTATGTGCTTCGTACGTATTGAACCTACTCGTAGAAAAGGTTGGTGTAGAGGGGAGCGGACCATCCGAATATGGGACTTCATGCATATGGAATCTCAAGTAAGCATGAAATGTGAATTTAACATTTCCACGCTGTCTGTCTCTTGACTTACTCGTGTTATCCAAATATTTTAAGATAGCCTCAATTTGAAAATGATTACTAGTATGCTCGTCATGTATGATTGCTTAGGGCGTTCTAGTTCCGTAGACAACAAGGTGGCAGGGTGGGTTTGAATATATTAACCCGGTTATGGTGGGTTTAGTGAGGTTTAGGCCGAGTCTTCATTGTAATACGTCCGAGCTTACGGATTTAAAGCGGTGAAAGAACGAGTGACGTTACTATAACCGGCAGGTCAGGGGGATGTTCAATGCCCCGCGTCTAACCATTTCGCCATGTTGCCATATACCACTTTTCAAGCTCACGCAATTATTCCCGTTTCTTAAAAATCATATCCTAAAACTCTTTTCCTGTCCTTGCCGCTGTTGTTGGTTACCATCCTCCTACCAAAGGTCCTGGGCTAGAGCTTGCAGCCTGTCTCTTTCTGGGTAGATCGCATAATATCGAAGAGTATTAGACGAGACGCGCAGCTTGTATAGGAAACCCTTGATAACCAAGGTTACGATCCAAGACGATCCAGGTTAGATTATCTTTGACATAAAAGGGTCCACACTATTTCCGGGTGAGTCAATACATATTATGTATGTAACTAGTACATAGAAAGCCGAGCAGTCCTAAACTCAGCCCTGTCCCCGTAGGATTTTCCTAAATAATAGCCTGGGCAATTATTTCGAGCCAGGCTCTCAATGGCTTCTTTTTGTCTTGGTTCTTCTATCTTGACGAGATTTACCTCACTTCTTCCCGGTCTTAAGCCTCAACGCTTAACTTTTGAACCTCCCGCCGCCAAAGGTTGCTAATTAAGAAGATATAAAGTGAGGGACAGAGTCCGTGGTTTGCTTTTCCTCGGCAGGTAAGACAATACCTCCAATTCTCTCAGCCCTATGCGCATCGCGTCAAAGCCCGGAGAGTTGCCCGCGGATCTCCCGCATAATGTCTAGCACATCTTCCGCTTCTTTCGCCCACGCCAATTCCACTCCGGCTCAAATGGATTCCCCATCCCGCTCGTCGCCGAACGACAACTCTATCAACTCGCCCGCCGCAACGTCGACGCCACAAGACCATGCGCCGACACCAAGCGCCTTATCCTCGGCTACTTCCATAGCCGCCGGCGCTCCTCATCCCACCACCTTCACACCGTCGGGACCGATCTCGCTCGACCCCTCTACTACGCCCTCATCCGCGCTCAATCCCCGCAGCTGCGTGACATGCCGCCGACGGAAGGTCAGGTGTGATAAATTTATGCCTTGCGGCAATTGTCGCAAAGCACAAATCCAATGCGTCTTCCCGGCTCCGGGCCGAGCCCCTCGGCGGCCGCGCGCAAAAGACCCGAATGCCCCGCCGAAGCAGACGAGCGAGCGCGAGATCGAACTCATGAAGCGCTTGCGGAAGCTCGAGAGTATCGTGGAGGATCTGAGCGGCCAGATCGAGGTCGAGACCGCGAGACACCCCTCTAGTGGTGGCTCGCCCGAGGCCGCGATGGACAGCACCCCGCAAGAGAGGGAGCGGCGAAGGCAGAGCGGTTTCATATACAGCGAGAACCTCCCAGGCGGCTACCCGCCGGCGGATTACTCGAAACTCGGCCGCTCCCAGACCGGCGACTCCGGGGGTCCTGGGACGAAGAGCCCGGCCGGGGAAGTTAATAAGTCCTTCGGGAGGCTGGTTCTAAACGAGAAGGGGAAGACGCGGTACGTGAGCAGCGCGTTCTGGTCTAAGATAAATGACGAGGTATGCGACTTTATATGTTTTTGAGATCCGAGTAGGTAGGCGAACGAGGGATTAACGAGACGCTGAACAGATCAACCAGCTGCGGACAGAGACTGAGCAGCTCAGCGACGAAGACACCGACGGCTCGGACGACGGCAGCAGTCCCGGAATATTTAACCCGTACCCGGATCAGGTCGATCATCATGGGTTCGTACTCGGCTACAGCTCCTCCAACGTCGATCTTCGCAAATTGCACCCCCTGCCGTCCCAGATACCTTTCATATGGCAAGTTTACCAAGAGAACGTCGACCCTCTGGTCAAAATATTACACGTGCCATCCACAAACAAGATTATCCGCGAGCTGAGAAGTAATATGAACGATATCTCGCCGGGGATGGAGGCCCTCATGTTCGCTATATACTACGCCTCGATCACGTCCATGGGAGACGACGAGGTACGAGATCTACGCGATAGCTGACTATGGGGCATAGGGCTGACTACGAGATTTGCTTAGGTCAAGATAAACTTCGGCGCCGACAAAGGACAGCTTATAAACAAGTACCGCTTCGCTACCGAGCAAGCTCTCGCGAAAGCCAACTTTCTCGTCACATCAGAACTGGTAGTCGTGCAGGCCTTCACCCTCTTCCTTGTACTCGTACGGCGGTACGACGACACTAGATTCGCTTGGACGCTCACAGGCCTCGCGATCAGAATATCCCAGTCGCTGGGAATTCACCGCGAGGGGACCAAGTTCGACGACCTAAGCCCCTTCGACGTGGATATGAGACGTCGGCTGTGGTGGGCGATATGCATCCTCGATCTTAGGTCGGCGGAAGATCAAGGCACGGAGCTAACGATCGCGGAGCGCACATACGACACGCAATTCCCGCTGAACGTCAACGACGCCGACATAAGTCCCGAGATGACGGAGTTCCCGGAAGAGAAGACGGGGCCTACGGACGTGACATTCTGTCTTATCCGCTACGAGATATGCGCCTTGTCTAGGAAGATACATTTCGCCACAAACGGGATGGCCCCCTGCCACGGCCGGAGCACGGAAGCGGAACGAGACAATATGCTTCTCGAATGCTACGAACGCATAGAGAAGAAATACCTCAAGACATGCGGAGATAAAGATGTGGACGTGCTGCATTGGGTCGCCGCCATGATCGCGCGGCTTATCATGGCTAAGATGAGACTAATTATCTACCAGCCTATGCTGCTCCACTCGACCGGCCAGGCGCTTAATAAAGACGTGCGGCATCGCTTATTCATGGCTTCTCTGGAGGTTGTCGAATATACCAAGGTCTTGAACCTAGAGCCCCGCTGTCAGCAGTGGCGCTGGCTCTTCCAAACATACGCCCAGTGGCACGCCGTGGCTTATCTCCTATTAGAGACGTGCAGATTACCTTGGACGGCGTCGCTCGAGCGCGCTTGGATCGTGCTCAACGCCGTATTCCAAACCCCAGACGCGGCCGAGCGCGCCAGGCCAGGAGTTTGGGTTCCTCTTCGCAAGCTCATGACGCAGGCCAAGCGCCATAGGGAGGAAGAGGTGAAGCGGTTAAGAGCAGATCCCGAAGCCGCACAGCAGCTCGACATCGACGAGCAGAAGCAATTGCAACCTGATAACTTCAAACACCTATCGAGCTCCGTAAGAAGCTCCCTCGCCCAAGACCAGTGGCGGAAGCTTGTCGGGGTCAAGGGTCCCGAGAAACCCGTCTTCACCCTCGCTAGCGTCACGAACGCTTGCCCGCCGACGGAGGTCAAACCAGAGAGCAAAGAAGTCCTTCAGCAACAAACAAGTGTCGGCGAACCCGAGCCCGAGATGCAGTACGTCGACCACCTGATGTCTCAGCCGTATCTCGACTCGCAAGACCTCTTCTCCGTAGCCTTTCCTAGCAATCAGGTATATATGACCGAAGGGGGCGCCCAACCACCGGGCAATTCCCGTCCGGCTCCGCCCGCTCCCACTGGAACATTTGAAACGCCCGGTAGCAGCGCTTACGGCGCCGCCGCGGCCCCCCCTCAACAAAACTTCCTCGAGGATAATCCGCCGCCTTGGCTTTGGTCCGATAATTGGGCCAACGGTCCCGCAAACAATACGACGGCGAATACGGCCACACCAAGGACCGAGGATCAAGACGTCGACATGGACGCAGAAGAGGGGTTCAACTGGCAAACTTGGGTGGACAACGGGCTCGCGATGGGTCGGGTCGGTTTCATGGGAGGGATTTGATATAAGTAGCGCGAATGATAAACGAATCACCTTTTCATGGGCGGCATTCATTTGAGCATCATGGATGGAAGGGCATATACCGATTTTAGATCGGAATACGGAGGAGGATTAAGCAATGTCTTCGTTTGAGGACAGTCGATTCTGCCCACCCGCTGCTAAAGAGCGGCTGCAGGGCCAATGATAAGCTACACATGGGATGAGACTACGGGAGATGAAGATGAGACACAAGATGGAGAGAGATGGACGAGAACAATGTCATAGCACGGCGTTACTGCAATCCGGTGTGTATATACGGATACCCGGTTCTTATTTAGACCATAATATGCCATGTATGATATACCACATATGATTAGAACATCACCATTGCATTATCACGCCCCAATGGCGGATGTCGTGTACTTCCCATTTTGGGTTTACGCGCTTACGGCACATCTTGTTCATGATGCTGTCCAACCTCATGAAAACTTCGTGGCCGACGTCGACGGCAGTATTTGTTATCTTATCAATAGATGAGGCAGCACTTCTAAGGCCAACTGATCAAGAATTCCCTCATAAACGGGTTCAATCAATTAAATCGACCCCCTGCTACGCGCTAAGAGTGAATCTGGTAAAATGTATTCCCGCCAGGGGTCTAGGATTTGTAAGCTACGTTGAATGATGATGTATAAACTCGCCGAATCCGCGATTACATCATCCCATGAACGGATAGAATGTCTACGCCGATTGAAGTGGGCAAGCACATATATATCTGGTTACCAATTGTTCTGATGTTTAAATGCTAAGACTACCTACTCAGCCAACTTTGATTCTAATAAAACGAGGCTCAAATGTAGATAGGTTTGGAAAATTCCTCCCGACAACATCTCATAATGTCACATAACGTGTTAATCACTGGTGGATCTGGGTATCTCGGGGGCACGCTCCTCGCTCGCATGGGCGGCGCAAATCTACCTCCTTACGGAAAGTTGTACGCTTCGGCGCGGACGGCAGAGCAAGCAGATAGCCTTCGACAATACGGAGCGCAGCCCCTGTCCTTCAACTTGAAGGATGAAACCGAAATATGGGCTTCCATTGTCGAGAACGAAATAACAGTGGTTTACTATATGATCGATGCGATCTCTTACGACCCTCCATTGTTCTTCATTAAGGCGCTCGCTGAGGTGAAAAGAAGAACTGGACAAACGGTTCACTTCCTTCACGTATGCTATGGAGACGGACTCTAGTCAAATCCCAAACAACCATGGCGGAAATAAGAACTGACTTTCAAATCATGTTCTAGACTACGGGAGCGAAGCTCTTTTCTAGTCACGCAGGCGCCCCGACTGATCGTCCGCTATTAGATACCGATCCTAAGCTCTACGATATCCAGATGTCTCAACGTGCAAAGTTGGGTCCAATCCAAGAAGTATACTGAACTTTGATTTACTCCTTTCGTTAATTTCAAAACACTAAACATTACGTAGGCCGTCAACAACAGTTGCGCAGTAATAGAGCAAGCCGAACGGCACGGCGTGAGAAGTTATATCTTCGTCCCTTGCATCGTGTGTAAGTCATCCTCTTGCCGCGGAAGAAAATTTGACATCGAGAAATTACGAGAAGGCGCAAATCGTATCCCGATATTCTCGTCCCCAGTCTAGGTCACGGTAACTGTATACCTAAATATACGCGCTATCCACTCCGACACTTTTCTACCGAGATTACTGGCGTTTTAGTAATCGGGACCATACCTACCTACTTACTAACTACCGCTATTTTTATATATAGATGGGAAGAGCGAAGGGTTCGGCGAACCTATCGCGACGTTAAGACAGATTGTCAATGTCGTACAAGCAGCAAAGGCGTTGAAACGTGTATACCGTGTTGACCCTGACCGTCCGGTACGCTGATGACCCCTTTTATATTGTGACCCTCACTGAGTTAGAGTAATGTAAACTAACTACGAAGGAACATAGACATGGCCGGTCTGTCATGTAGTAGACAACACTGGGGTATACATAGAGTTGCTGCGGAAGATTCTAGTAAACGGGAACCCTAGCCATGGTAAAAACGGCTATTATCTGGCTTCTTCGGGAAGCATCGCAGTAAGCACAGTTCCAATTCCACCCACTGTTCAAAAAGCTCCCTAAAGCCTAAGCCTACTCTTATCCACGGCTTTGCTAACATACGTACGATATAGTGGGATGATCTATACGATGCTGTGGGCGTAGCTCTCGCTAAACGTGATATCGTGAGCGACGAAAAGGTGGAAACGGCGAACGACCAAATCCTGGAGAAAATGGGGGCCGCACTAGGTCGCCCGAAGGAATTCGTGCCCCTTCAATTAGGTGGATGGTGAGTTTGGCCATGGGTACATAACTATTGCCCTTTGAACTCATCTGACTTGGGTGCCCGAAAATAGGTGTACATTCACGGCCCGCCGCGCCGAAGAAGAGCTTGGATGGAAGCCCATCTTTAACCCGCAGCATATATTAGAGACTGTTGACGCCGAAGTTGAACGAATTCTTTTCCATATGACATAATAGGGTTAGGGTTAGGGTTAGGGTTAGGGTTAGGGTTAGGGTTAGGGTTAGGGTTAGGGTTAGGGTTAGGGTTAGGGTTAGGGTTAGGGTTAGGG